AATTAAGAGCAAAAATGGAAAAATGAATACCTAGTATTCATGGAAAATGTCTACTTTTGAATTCTAAAAATATTATGTTTCCCTTTTAAAGAGTTTTTCTTTGGTTGTAGGTAAAATATACTAATTACCATCTTCATGATTTTTCCGTACTTTGTGTAATGAAGAATAAATAGAAGCCATTCTTTTATAATTAGGGAATGTAAAACAGATTTTTATGTACATACTTTGCAAGTGAAATGGTATAAAATTTAAAATGACAAATGTAAAAAGTACATGATATGAGAAAAACACACACAAACATACACAGTCCTCCCATTGTTCATCGATTTGCTCGAGAGGGCCCAGTAACATCTCCATTGTGAGACTTGTTGTTACTGTGTTTGGCATATTGAATACGTCATGGGGAGCTTGCAAGGCTATACTCTCAGTAGCTTGCTGGGCTCTCCAAGAGGGGTAGAGAAATCGAACCCAGCTCAGCCGGGCTGGCTGCGCACAAGGCAAACACCCTACCACTGTGGTATTCCTCTAGCCCATAATATGGGAAAAGATGGATATATATCATGGTGCCAGGCCATGTGACTTAAGATAATGGGCTTTGATGTTTTTTTTGTAATAGCACAAACTATAAAACTATAATTTTCAAAAAAATATTGTGGGAAACTGCAAAATATAAAATAGATCAGAGAATCTCTGGAGGGAGCCCTTTATCTCCATGGCAACCCAATAGTCTGTAACCCCAAGACTCCCATAGATTGGAATAAAAAGGTATATATCAAATTTAAACTCTGCCACTTGCTTAAAATTGTACATTAGTAAAGGAATGTAATCTTTAGTAATGAATTCAAAGGGAAGGTCCACTAATATTTCACTTCTGGAAAGTTTTTTACAACATCCAAGTTGGAAAACATGGTTACTTTGATATCAGAATAGTTCTCATCACTAAGGAACTTTATTAAATATGATGGAGGCTGCCACAAGGGCAGGTGGTGGGAAGTGGTTAGGGTGGTGGGAGGGATACTGGGAACATTTGGTGGTGGAGAATGGGCACTGGTGGAGGGATGGGTGCTCGATCATTGTATGACAGAAATGTAATACAAAAGTTGTAAGTGTGTAACTGTATCTCTAGGTTATTCATTAAAATAAAAATAGCACAGTGGGTAGGGCTTTCGCCTTACAAGCGGCCAACATGGCCGACCCGAGTTCGATTCCTCTGCCCCTCTCGGAGAGCCCAGCAAGCTACCGAGAGTATTCGATATGCCAAACACAGTAAAATAAAAATAACTTAAAAAAAGATGTGAGTACAAAAAAGGAAAAATGTGATGGAAATATTTAGTAATTGCTCCTTTTTCTTTTAGGACCAGGATCCTGCAGCTTTTGGAAATAATTCTACCCTTGTGGCTTCTTCCAAACATTATCTGTCCATCCGCTACACCCTGCTGCCCTATCTGTATACTCTTTTCTTCAGAGCTCACACCCTAGGGGAAACTGTGGCAAGGCCCCTCGTACATGAGTGAGTTTCTACACTTCTAGAATCATTTTTAGATTACATTTGTACTGAATATCAAGACTAGTTATGATCTTATTGCCATAGAAATAGAAACCACCGTTGCCCTATATTAGGGTTATATCTGCCTTCTCTGTTTTCCAGGTTCTACCAGGACCCAGAAACATGGGGTATACATGAACAGTTCATGTGGGGACCTGGACTCCTCATCACACCTGTCCTATATGAAGTGAGTTTAAGTCCTAAACAATGGGGTGAAATACCTGCATTGCTCAATAGCTAAATAAACTGACCATTGATTATCTTTGACTGCTTCTAAACATAAATGTGAACAGAATGAGAGAGTTTGAGAATATTTAGAACTTTCAGGGGAAAAAGGAGTAATTCTAGGTCCCATTGTCCCACTGAGCAAAAACAAATTTCACCTTGTAGAATTACCTTAAAGTCTATGTCCTTGAGCCCAGGTCTTTGCCATTAGCAAGGGATTTATGTGTCTTGATGAATTGGGGCTGCCCAACTTGGAGCAGAGAGTATATATATAGACTGTTTTTGGCTTTAAGTTAGATATGGGAAGAAAACAGAGGTGGATAGAAGGGCAGAGATGGAGAGCCTTGGGCAAGAGAAGGTGTTACTCTGGAGTCCTTAGCTGAAATAAGAGTGTTCTACCTAAGCATGACCTGCGTAGGGGTGAGAAAGCGTAAAGAGAGATAAACATTATGTCAGTTTTCAAACATGAAAAACTGCTAACCTACATGTTGAAGGTCTTAGAGCTAGTAATTTAAGGTTACCAAATCATGGAAAATCTTTCTGAGGGTCTACCAAGCCCCTTCTCTTCCCACCTTTCAAATGATACAAATAATCCATGAGTCAATAAGTCTCTTTCCTTCTGTAAAATGTTTAAGAGAAAAAGCAAAAATACAAAATTCTTAGTTACAACTCTATTTTGAGTAAACTGACCAGCGTTTCTGAGTCTCTGTATTTTAAGTCTAATGAGATTATTCAGACAACCACACACAACCACATGTGGAGTTACTGTGGAAACCGTGGGGAAGGTATGCTATGCTCAGCTTACTCATCAGTACCTTTTCCTAGGGTGTGAATGCAGTCAAAGCATACATACCGGACGCCATCTGGTACGACTATGAGACAGTAAGTGCGGTAGCCCTGTGTGGCTCAGAGACCTGCCTCTTCCAAGGAGAAATTCTAAGGCAACAAATTAGGGACATGGAGTGTGCTAGACTACTCAGTTTTACATGTGTTTATTATTTATTTATGCTTTGGGGACACACCTGGCAGTGTTCAGGGCTTAGTCCTGGCTTTGTCCTCAGGTATCACTCCTGGTAGGACTCCAGGTTCATGTACGCAAGGCAGCACTATACCAGCTGCACTATCTCTCCAGCTACTCCAAGGTTTTACATTTTGTCAATTGTGGACACTTTTCTTTGAGAAAGGCCTAGACAATTAAATCATTTGAATAACTGGAGTAGAACTATGGGCATTTTTAATTACACTGTCCTGAGTGTTCTCTACAGAACTGCACTGAGGCTAATGACTCTATATCAGGACTAAGATACTGATCCTTGACTGAACCACAATAATCTAGCAAATTAAAACCTAGCTGTAGATTCATGGGGGGATGTTGATGAATGGAGTGGGTTGTCGTCTCTATAGGTGTACTATCTGTATACCCTGGCTGTACAGTCAAGTCACTTCACTTGGAGGGGTGGGATGGGGAATGCCTCTGTCTTTTGTTTCTGTTTTTTTTTTTAATGAGACAACTAGATTAGAGCATCTCAAGGTCCCTCTGAGCCCAAACAGCTTCTGATTGGATGCTTTTCTTCTGGTTAGGGAGTAGCCATGCAGTCGAGGAAGCAGTTGGTGGAGATGAAGCTGCGTGGTGATCAGATAGGACTTCACCTACGGGGTGGTTACATATTCCCCACCCAGGAGCCCGATGTCAACACAAAGAAAAGGTAAATTCCTTCACAGGTATGACTGTCAGGTGCTCCCCTAAGACAAACACCTGACCAGTGTTAGGGGAGAGACAAACGAGGTCAATGTGTAGATGGGTTAAGGGAATACACCCTCCTCCTTTCTGCCAGGGCTAGCCTCTGGGACCAGATGAATAGGGTTGAAGACATGTTGCCTTGGAAGATTAAGAAAATGAAACAGAAATCAGAGAAAAAACACAGGGTCAGAGGTAACAACCTCGTGGACTCAGAGCTCTGGTTGTTCTTCATTTTCCAAAGTTTGGTATTTATTTCTTAGAACAAGATATCATTACAAGGAAAGAGGAGAGTGGACATTTTATAACCAATTGCCAATTTATGTTATTATTCTAACAAAGCAATATTCTTACATATCCAAGGGGCAAACTTTTGGGGGTTTTTTTGTGTGTGGGGAGGGGTTCTTATTTCAATGGGTGTTTCCTCTGAGTGAAAGAGCAGAAACAAAATAGTCACTGGACCAACCCCCACCCATGTCTCCATGGCTTTCCACATTGGCATTGGCTTTCAGATTTCATGTTCCTGTCTTCTACCCACTCAGCTTTTCTCAATCTCTCTGAAACATTTGTTTCCAGAACATTCCTTTGAAGGTCTGCTCCTTATTGGTTATTTGCTGCTCATTTCTCATTTTGCAGATATTTGATTGTAGCCTCAAGCTCATTCCACCTCAGGATGGAATCAGATTACAGAAAAACAAATATAATCAATCCCAAGGGTTTCCCTCTGGCCAAAATTTGTTAGATTTTGGTAGATTTCTGTGGGCCATGAGGAGACCACAGGAGTTAAATAGGAGAGAGGTATTACTGTACATAAAAGTGAACACACTCTCTGGTAAAAGCCAGAACCTTTGGACTCAAGGCCCAGGATGTGCCAGTATGTTACCACGGGCAACTTCCTCTCTCTTTCTGCAATTCCTGTGAACTGAGGATGATGATAATTTGACTTTTCAGTATTATGAAAGTTGAGGGAAATAATATACATGATTTAAAAAGGGTACCCAAGGGGACTGGAGCGATAGCACAGCGGGTAGGTCGTTTGCCTTGCACGCAGCCAACATGGCCAACCCAGGTTCAATTCCCAGCATCCCATATGGTCCCCCGAGCACTGCCATGGGTAATTCCTGAGTGCACGAGCCAGGAGTAACCCCTGAGCATCGGCACGGGTATGACCCAAAAAGCAAAAGAAAGAAAGAAAGAAAGAAAGAAAGAAAGAAAGAAAGAAAGAAAGAAAGAAAGAAAGAAGGTATCCAGGTGAAGGTAAGCACGTTCTCTGCGTCATAGATTACTCTTAGCTTCAATATAGTTTGTTACTGACTCTCTCTTGCCCTTTTTGTTGATTCTCTAGTTACCTCTGCCCTCTGCCACAACCAACTTCCATGTGCCACAGGGAATTGAGCTACTGTTTGTGGTATAGAGGATGGGATAAGGCAGGAAGGCTACTGTTTTAAAACTCTCTTTATTTGCTGATACTGAGAAATTATTTTTTTACAGTCGGCACAGACCTTTGGGACTCATTATTGCCTTGGACCATAAGAGGGAAGCCAAGGGGGAGCTGTACTGGGATGATGGCGAATCTAAAGGTAGACTTCTGTGTGGCCCCATCTCCTTACTTTCGTTCTCAGTAAAAATTAGACATGCAGCTTCTCATTAGGGCATTACCCTCATTACTGTGGATGCTTATTTCTGTTGATTATAATAAATTTCCTTTGGGGCCAGAGTTACAGTATGGACAGAATTAACTTACAAGTGACCAACTTGAGTTCAATCTCTGGCACACTATGAACCCCAAGCCCTGCCAGGAGTGATCTCTGAGCACTGACAAGTGTGACCTCCAAATCATAAAGATAAGAAAAATAGATAACGAAGAGATAGTGCAGTGGGTAGGGTGTTTGCCCTGCCCATGACCAACCCAGTTTTGATCCCTGGCATCGTATATAGTTCCCAAGCACTGATAGGAGTAATTGCTGAGTGTGAAAGCCAGAAGTAACCCCTGAGCATTACTGGATTTGGCCCTCCAAGCCATGCCAATGAAAAAATAAGAAAAATAGATAATTTTATTTTGAAAGTTCACTTAGCCAAGTATAATGCATTAAAATAGACTCCAAATGAACCTCTTGAACATTAACTTTAATAACATTTAATAATTTAATAATTAATTTAATGATTTTTTTATGACATCTTATTGTCTCATTCCTACTTTGGACAAACTTGCAGGCTATCGAATGTAGCCTGCCCACAGCGCAGAGTCTGGCAAACTCCCCGTGGCGTACCAAATATGCCAAATACCAGTAACAATGATGGGTCTCATTCTCCTAAATAGCCTTGAATATAATCTCAGGGCTAGGATGAAAGAGACGTTACTGGGGCCTGCTCGAGGCAATCGACGAATAACAGGATGATGAAAAAAAATGATTTTTCATCTATTGGTGTCATAAATAGTCCATCATACATTTTTGATAATACAATTGTAAATGACTTATTGTTCCAGGGGAAACATCTCATTTGTGTAGTATATTGTCTTTCTATGATACTTTCAAGTAAGGAAGCCTGTGGTCTGTCATTATATATAACTCATTGAATAAAATGAGCCTGTGTTAATATTTATTGAGTTCAGGGGATACAAAAACAAATAAGACATAGACACTGACCTTGTGGAGCAGTTTTTTTTAATAGTATAGATGCATTATGCTTGTGGATAACTATTAATTCACGTTAGAATATCTGTTTAAAATGCCACAAGAGAATACCACAAAGTTCCCTGGGAGTTCAGGGGCGAGATCAGTAGGTTTAAGTAGTTTCAGAAACTTCCGTGAGGGGTTAATAAAGAGATAGACCCAGATTTTTGAAACCAGGCAGAAAATACCTTGCAGTAAAAATGAAAATTTGAGCCTGTGCCTACTCTGGGTTCCATAGTAATTGATATGCCTTCATCTTTCTCTTTTAGATGCTGTAACTAACAAGCTTTATATTCTGTATGAGTTTTCTGTCACTTCCGTAAGTATAGTGTTTAAAATATGTGTGTTCTTGATGAATTTTTATTTTGCCATAGATGCTTGCACTTGTGAAAGAGCCATGCGTCTACTTAGATGTCCCAGAAAGGATTTAGCTGAAATGATGGTACTGACCTGTGTTCCAATTATACATCAACAAAAATCAGAATGAGATTAAAGAACTCACTTTTTTCCCACTGATATGACTTTAGTTCTAAGTATTATGTGACAAATCTTGGTTTCTAAGATATGTCTTTATTTAAGGGGGTCAATGTGTGTGTATATATATATATATATATATATATATATATATATATATATATGGGCTGGAGCGATAGCAGGGCTGGAGCAATAGCACAGCGGTAAGGCATTTGCCTTGCACGCAGCCAACATGGCTGGCCCGAGTTCGATTTCTCCGCCCCTCTCGGAGAGCCCGGCAAGCTACTGAGAGTATCTCGCCCGCATGTCAGAGCCTGGGAAGCTACCCGTGATGTATTCAATATGCCAAACAAAGTCTCCAATAGAGACGTTACTGGGCCCGCTCGACCAAATCGATGAATGGGAGAACAGTGACAGATATATATATATATATATATATATATATATATACAGATATATATATATATATCTGTATATATATATATATATATATATATATATATATATATATAGCGCAAAGGGGTGAAAGTAAGATTAACACGGGAGAACTCTTAAGTTGTTTTATTAGAAGTTTGTGCATGAAAAATATATCTGGGAGAGGGCTCTTTCTCCTCTATTACTTTATTAACTTCATTTTAAATATTATACTTTTTAAAAATTTTTATTAGTGAAACACCATGAGGTACAGTTGTAGACTTACAAATTTTTGTGCCTGGGTTTCAGTTATACAATGATCGCGTATCCATCCCTTCACCAGTGCCCATCCACCACCCAGTATCCCTCCCACCCCCCATTGCCCCATCCCACCCTATCTTGATACTATCTGTCAATATCCTTGTTGTAATTGTACTCATTTCATAATATGTTACCAAAAGAGGAAACTTGGCAAAGTACAAGGGCGTGCTATGATTTCTCACAACCATGGATCTAACTAAAATGAGTAGTTAACTGAAATTAGTACAATTACAACAAGGATATTGACAGGTACTATCAAGGTATGGAATATTGCATCACCACAAGAATTCCTCATGTTGCCCTTTTATACCTGCACTTGCTAACTAGTCTCCTTCCCCATGTTATTCTTATTCCCTGGACTAGCCTCTATTTTCATAAACTTGTTCTTTTATGAGTATTATTAAAAATTATGTATCCTTTAGCTTCAAGTAATTATTTTTCATGATCAACCAAATTCTTTCAAAATTCAGACAAATTGTGTATCAGTAATCTATTTCCTTTTATTGTTGTATAGTTTTTAAAGAGTTGGGTGTTCAGATTTTATTTAACCATAAACTTTGACCTTTAGTCAAATCTTTTTTTTAAAATGAACAACTGGCCTATTTCTAGTTGTGGGCTCTTATTAAAAATAAAACTTTTGGACACATGGACAGGCTTTAGGGATATAAATTTTCTTTTATTGAGATTAATTCTCAAGTGTGCAATTGGTATATCTGATAGAACTTGTATTTTGTCTTATAAGAAATTGCTAGCAATAGCACAGCAGGTAGGGCGTTTGTCTTGCACGCAGCCAACATGGCCGACCCGAGTTTGATTCCTCTGCCCCTCTCAGAGAGCCCGGCAAGCTACCGAAAGTATATCGCCCGCAGGGCAGAGCCAGAAAAGCTACCCGTGATGTATTTGGTATGCCAAACACAGTAACAACAAAGTCTCCAATGGAGACATTACTGGGCCCGCTCGAAGAAATGGATGAACAACGGGAGGACAGTGACAGTGACAGTGATAGAACTTGTATTTTGTTTTATAAGAAATTGCTAGACTATTTTCTAGCAATAATTGCTAAAGTGCCTTCAGCATTCTGAATCACCTAGTTTTTCCTACATTATAACTAGTAGTGGTAGTTATTTTTTATGTTTTAGCCAATCTTATGAGGTGTAATAGTAGTCTATAAAAATAACTGTGAGTATTGACTTGCATCTCACCAATGTATAATAATGTCAATTAACTCTTTATATGGATTTTTAATCTCATTTCAAGTGTCTACTCAGTTTTTTCCTGGCCATTCTCTAATTGGCTTGTTTTTCCATTCCATTTTGAATGTTTTTTAGATAGTATAGACCAGCCATTTATTGGACATAAACTTTTTTAATATTGTCATTCAGTCTGTAGAGTTTTCTGTACACCCTTGTGTCAGAATCTTTCACAGAGTAAAAGTTGCTCATTTTGATGAGTACAAGTTACTAATATTTGCTTTTATAGACTATGCTTCTTGGCATTAAGTCTAATATGTCTTTCTGTCCCTAGATCTTGGTATGTTTTCCTAATCTTTTCCTTAAAATGCTGATAATTTTACCTTTTGCATTTAAGTTTGTAATCAATTTTGAATTACTTTTTAAACAAGATGTGAGATTAGATTGAGGATCAACATTTTGCCTATGTATATTAATTATTCTAGTGCTGTGTTTAGAAAAGGTTCTCTTTGGTCCCTGGAGTCTTTTTGTGGATTGCCTAACATTTTAGATATCAGTTCCACATTCTTTGTCATAGCTCAATTTTTATGTTTTAGGATTGCACCTTTTTGAAGAGGTTATAAAATTTCTCTGGAAATTTAGATGAGTCTCCTCATCTAAAGAATGTGAATAGATAATACATGAAACATGCTTAACAGGGTATCTGCCTCATAGAAAGTACTAAAAGATATAAGCACTGATAATGATCAAAAATTAAAAGAAAAGAGAGATTTTAATGGAAATAAGAATAAAAAATTATCTGGGAATTGTTCTGGGTGTGTACATATATCGATGCCTTGTGTGCTAATGACGTTCTCAAGGGTGGCACTGAAGAGTTTTGGTGAAATGGTATCACCCGAATGCCTCTCTTGAGGTCAGTGATCTCTTCCTTGTAGAATGGTGAGATCCTGGTAGTGAATCCATAATACAGCTCACGGAGGATTCTGATGTATTGAGTTTCAACGTCCTGTTTGGCTAGGGTTTCTATTACCACTTCAGTCTCAACGGAATCAAAGGCCTTCTTTAAATCAATGAACATTAGATAGAGCAGCATCTTGAACTCCTGAGAAACCTCAATGAGTTTGGCTATCGTGTGGATATGGCCGATTATGCTGAATCCTTTTCAGAACCTGGCTTGCTCACAAGGTTGTTCTTCATCTAGTGTTCTGCCAATCCTATTCTGAATGACTCGAGTGAACAGCTTCTAGACAATGGACAATAGGGAGATTGGGTGATAATTGCCAGTGTTGTGGATGTCTCCCTTCTTGTACAGTAGAACGGTCCTGCTGGTTTTCCACTGGGATGAAATCTTGCATTCAGACAGGTGGCATGTGAAGAGCCGAGCCAGTGTATTCATAAGTACTGATGGCAGGTTCTTCAGGTGTTCATGTCTGACCTTGTCTGGGCTGGATGTTGTTTGCTTCTTTCTCGACAAAATAGCATGCTGGATTTTGGAAGGGAGAACGTTGGGAACGACATATCCATCATGCAGAATTTGCTTTGTGGGCAGGTGGATGTGGCTATCGAAGAGATCCAAGTAGAAGTCATGGATAATCTTCTCCATTGCCCTTCTGGAAGATGTGATAGATCCATCAGGACGTCAGAGGGCATTCATCTTGGTCTTGTAGTGGGCGAAGGACAGGCGGGTGTTGTGAATGCTTTTCTTGGCTTCTGCCGCATTGGCCAGCACTGCTGCTCTTCTATCTTTGAGGTCTTCCTTTATAATTTCTCTGCACTGTTTTGCAAGCTCGGACGTTAGCTTGTGGTTGCCTGAGGCTCATGCCCAGTCACGTTGGTGAATGAGCTCAGGAGTTTTTGAAGACAGGTGTCTTTTTGTGGCATTCTCTCCCTCTGTGTTCCTTGCACAATCACGTAGGTACTGAACAAGTCGATCATATTCTTCGTCAATGTTGTCAACGACAGCATCTTCCCATGTTGCTGCAATAGTGCCAAAGAGCTCCCGGTTGGTAGTTGTTCTGGGAGTTCTCTTCTTAAACTTTGCAGCCCTTTCTCCCCACTCTGTGAAGTAGAATTTTGCAAGAAGGAGACAATGGTCTGATCCCATTTGGAATTTTTGGAAAATAGCAACATACGTCAGGCAAAACTGTCGATTTAATATAATGTGGTCAATTTCATTGTGGAACTGTCCACCGGGAGACTCCTCTATCCAACGTTTAGATTCGGCCTTCTGGAACTGTGAGTTACCATGGATGGTCTTGGTCGACATGATGAATTCAGACAGTCTCTCACCCTGTTCGTGGCATTAAAATCACCGACAATGATCTTGTAGAAGGTGTGGTCTTCTTTTTAGAACTTCTCCAGCTCCATGTAAATGGAGCTGGAGAAGTTCTAAATTTCTTCTTCATCATAATTGGATGTTGATGCATAGACAACAAAGATAGAAACTGCCAGCAATGAGCCACATCTATTCAAGTTAGATGAGCCACATTTATTCATCGATTTGGGTTGTTAGGCATTCGAATAAATCAATGATCATGGCCAAGTTCATGTTGATAAGGACACCAACACCAGCAATGCCTCTTTTGTCTCATGTAATGAGGAACAGTTCTCCAGTGTCAAAAACCATATGATATGATTGATGCCTTCTCATCTCAGTCAGACCAATGATGTCATACTTGATCTACCAAGCTTTCACCATCAGGTTCTCGATGGATGCTTCCATATGTGTTGAAATTACAGTCGTTTAAGTCCTTCTTCGTTTTGGCAGCCTAGTTCGGCCTGAGATTTTATCAGCCTCTTCTTGCTCATCCTTCTTAATGCTGCCATATTGGTGGCTCTTTCAGGATCAGGGGAATGAGACCCATTGTATTTACTGTTTTTGGCATATCAAATATGAAATGGATAGCTTCATATCATGTGACAACTGAAATGGGAAGGAATGGGAGTGAAGATAGATGGTCAGCAACTACACCACATCCGCTTTGCTGATGACATCATTCTAATAACACCAAACCTTAGCCATGTGGCACAAATGCTGGCCAACTTCGACCATGAGTGTGGTAAGGTCACAGCTGAATCTCAAGAAAACAATGTTCATAAGAAATGGACTCTTTCCTGATGTTCCATTAGCTGTCAATGGAACAAACGTTTCCGAATGTAGCAGTTATGTATTCCTAGGTCAAGGACTCAACATGACAAACGACTTGGCACCTGAGTTGCATAAGAGGAAGAAAGTGGCATGGAATGCCTTTAAGAGTGTCGGAGAAATAGCTAAGAGGACTAAGAATCTCCGGCTCTGGGCACATTCGTTCAACTCCACCGTTCTTCCTGCATTAACATACACCTCAGAGACCTGGGTCCTATGAAAACAGGATGAGAATGCTATTTGAGTCTCCCAAAGAGGAATCGAAAAGAGCTATGCTTGGATTATCTATCACGCTTCACTCACGAGAGAGAAGGAATCTGGAGTTCTGACCTCTGTCGATGATCGAGAATCAGGGATGCTGTCTCATTTGCCAAGGCGTCAAAAATCAGCTGAACTGGACACGTAATGCAATTTGGAGATGACCTCTGGACTAGAGCTATTACTGACTGGATTCCACAGGACGTCAAAAGATCGTGTGACTGCCCACCTACGAGATGGTCAGACTTCTTCATCAAGACCCTGAAAGAACGGTTTGAGGCTCTTTGTGTTTCTGGATTGAGCAGACACCATTGGGCAACACTAGCACGTGACAGGGACGAATGGAGACATTACTGGCACCTGCTTGAGCAAATCAATGAGTCAAGTGATCAAGTGATCAATGAATCAAAGAAATACCAGTTACTGTCATTGCTTATTAGTAAGCATGGTACATTACTAACAGATGTAGACCCGCTAAGAGTCAGGCTTAGAAAAAGCCCTGGGGACCCTGGTTCTGTATCTCAGAAAGTTGCTGGATAGTATATAGACACAGAATAGTCACTGAAATTTCTTTTTTCTTTTTAGAACCATCTACAAGCAACGATAATAAATAATAATTATTCAAGTGTTATCCTTAATTTTACATACTTTAAATTCTTGGGAATGGACAAGAAACCTTCTAATTTTACCATCTCCAGTAATGGCATGCAAATTACCAACGGAAATATTACCTACAATGCCTCAACAAAGGTGGGTATGGTTATAGAAACTTCCCATTTCTAAATCTGTGGAAATGATTGTCTGAGATTCCTAGCAACATGGTCTTCCTTGTTCTTTTAGCTTTGGGCAGTCCCAGAGACGACAGACTTGCTGGGAAACCTACCCCTTTACAGGAAGTAAAATTCACACACACACACACAGACACACACACACACACACACACACCATGGAGACTTTAACTCTGTTTGCATTGTGGCTTTGAAGGATATAGTGAAGTAAGTGAGGACTCGGGAGATCACAGTTTATTGGGCAAATTTAAAACTAGACACTTAATCCCAAATGTAATATAGAGCAAATATTATCCAATACAATGGCCTCATTCTGGGAAGTATTTATACTTGTGTAATTTCCTTTCATTTAATATTCTGAGACACAGTTGATATTTTTCTTCTTTAACTATTCTCCTATTGTTATAGAAGGTGAACATTGAATAAAACACAAAGGGTAATTTGAGTTTGCTACTCTTCAATGATTTCCTTACCTGATACTTCCTGAAAAAAAGATACCACTTGTTGGCTGGATAGCTCAAGCACTGGGAAATTCACTCTATTTTAAGAAAATCCCTTCCCTTTTGATAATACATAGTGCAAGGGATTAAATTTTGTTACTATGATTAGGCAGGATGTGTTTCTAATCCTTGCCCTGCTATCCTCTGTGTAGAAAGTTCTTAGGCAAAGCATTCATCTGATCTCTGAGCCTCAGCTTTCTATATTGTCAAATAGAGCTATTATTCACAGAATTAGGGTTGCCTTATAGGACATAATATTATTATATAAATGTTATTTTTTCATTATTATTGCAATGTATGAGCAGCGCTCCAGTTCGGTCTAATAATGACATCTCTCCTTGAAATCTGAACTCCTTATATCCTTAACATGATCAAATTCCTCCCTATTGCATACTCAATGGTTACTCCCTGGAGTGAGAAAGAATAAAAATTAGTAAAGTTTATGTGCTTTACTGTAGGATAACATTGGGTTTGTCCTTTCAACTTTGCCGCAGGAAACTTTACCTTAAAGCAATGTCCTTTCTGTATAGACACAGGAAGACAGTTAATATTATGCTTTGTAATTTGGTAGTTGATTGACTCAAATAATATTTACTCCTGGGCATCTGCTCTCAATTCAGTTGCCCTTAGTTCCTAGCACCCCAAAAGCAGGGTCCCGATGAGGAACTGAACAGACCCAGGGCAAACTGTGAGCTACCCTGGAATCGAAATGGGCCAGGCCAAAGAGCCACAATACTCAACTGTAAGTTGAGAGTATGATCATAGACAAATGCTGTCATGCTCCAAAAGTAATGATGAGACTAGGACCCTGCTGGGGTTAGACGACTAAATTAACCTGAGGACTGTGGTCTGGAATATGTAGTGAGATGTCCTCAGGAAGAACCAAACTTTGATATATCAAACCAAAGTTTGATATATCTCTTACTGTGTTCATACAGAATGACATTGCTAGAAATATTAGAAGTAAATTTACTATAACTATTTAAGTGAATTACTGGCTAAGGAAAGAAGAAAGTGACACACCGTGGGTGGGATCCTGCCGTTAAGCAGATCTCCTAGAAATCCGGTGTAATCTCTTTAGATGAGATTTTGTCCTTGAGTTAATCTCCTGGTAGAATTGTTTTACCCCTCTTTGTTGATTTGTCAATGTTCTACTCACCTTTGTGTCACCACTGTATGTGATTGCTGTATAAACTAAGACTGTAAGAGTGGAAAGGGTCAGAGTCAGAATCCAGAGGGCAGAGTCAGAAGTGAGAACTTCTGGTCGGGCTCCAGAGAGAGAGGGAGGTAGAAGGGCTCCAGAGAGAGAGAGATTGGAAGAGACCAGAGGAGAGACTACAGAGACAGAGTCAGAAATAGAGAGACATACAGAAGAGAGCACAGCGACACACACAGAAGCAGAGCACAAAGGAGAAGTCATCCCGATCCAGTCCATACACAGTGGCTTGAGAGCAGTGAACTCAGGCAGCGAGAGAGAGCCGTCTGGAGAGCCCACCAACGACTCATATCTTCCCATCCCTGCGTGCGCGTGTAAGAAATTTTTTACACTTTACAGTGAAAAAAGAGATGCAGAGGAGAGCCAATATTACATGACAAGGGTGTATCCAATGAAAGGCCAGCCCCACTGCAGCTCTGACTTGCAAACCTTGAGGGGGGTCACCCTAACCAGGAGGCTCTATGTGATGTGGATTACCTTGATCTCCTCTCTCTTTCCTCAGGTGTTGGAAATTGATGTTCAAATAGGGCTGACTATGGGAAACAATTTCTCCATCAAGTGGTCATTTTCAGTTGATAACCTGGAGAAGTTCAACTGCTTCCCTGAGGAGCCAAATGTCTCTTCGGATAATTGCATTAATCGGGGGTGCCTTTGGGAGGTAAATTCAGAAACAGATCCCCCCTAGTGGGCAGGAAGTTTAAAAAAATGATCCTGTGAATAATTATAAAACACTTTCTATAAACACAGATGCATGTAATAGTAGTAGTTCTTCAGGAAAAAAAAAACAACATTGTGCTGACTGATATGTTATCAATTCCATACATTTGGTGGTCAGTTTACTTTTGGTTTGGGGGCTACCTTCAGGGTGCTCAGTATAGTGCTTGGAAGACCATATGTGGTGTTGGGATAAAATATGAGTTGCCACATGCAAGGCAAGCACCTCGCCACCTGCAATATCTCTCTGTTCTTCTGAGATGAGGCTGAAGAAAAATACTGCCACTCTGTGACTCCACTACAGCATTTAAAACCCATTTTAATCTCCAACGTGACAATCAAAGAATGGGTATATACTCTATTGAGTATTTTAGGTTATCTTTTTATCCATCTGTTCGAGTATTTATGCAAAACAGATGTTTTTTTAACCTGTCGATAAATAAAGACCTTATTTCCAAATGAGGCTGCATTCGCAGGTTCCAGGGGTTAGGACTCAATATATCTTTGGAGGGGCAGATATAATTCAACCTATAATAATATGCAAGGCATAGAAATTTCCAAACAACTTCAAGAAGTATAGGCTCAAACTGTGTTATCCAGCTGTCTGAATTATCCCTCTTGTTCTAGCACACAGGTGAGGCTGGTGTGCCTCTCTGCTACTATGATACCATTCCTAAGTATGCTGCCACTAACATTCAGTACCTGCCCGAGGGCATCACCACACAACTTACCTACCTGACGCCTCCTGAATCAGCACCAGTGGTACCTCCATCTCCACCACTATCACAGGCTATGCCACCTCCACTCACAACTGCAGCCTCTGGTCCTCTCTCTGAAGAGGTCCGAGTCCTCAATGTGAAGGTGATCTACCACACCCAAAGCATCCTGCAGTTCAAGGTAATCTTTGGGTTGCAGCTTCTAATCCTCGTGGGGAGTCTCTTAATTTACAGTTCTGAGAGGATGTAAATGGTTGAAACATCTTGTCGAATTCCTTCATTTTACAGTTGAGGTCCAGAGAGGTTAAGTTCAGAAAGTTAAGGGATATATAGAGTCAGGATGATCATGAAAATTTATAGAATTTTGACTACATGCAATAATGAGAGCTCTACATCACCAACGGCCTCAACTAATCGTTGCCAGCCCTGAGGTAAAATGTACCTGGGAAACCCATGGCATTAGCTCACTTCCACCTCTGAGTTCTGTCTCTAGTAGTGGTTATTAACTCTAATATGCATCAGCACCTTCTGCAGAGCTCTCTACAATGTACCGAATGCTCAGGACTTCTCCCTGAAGTCTCCAGTCTGAGAATATGCAGTTGTAGCAAGTGTCCAGATGATGCTGGTGTTACAGGTTAAGCATTTAACTACACTTTGAGACTCACTGCTTTTTTTTCTAATAGAAATGCAATGTATTGCTGGGGTAAAAGACAACTGGGATAGAGAAGGGACCACCAAGTGAATGATGCTTGAAGGGTTTGCTCAGGATGGGAGATGCGGACTGAAACTAGATTATAAACAAAACATGATGGTCACTTACTACCTTTATTGCAAACCATAACACCAGGAGAAAGTAAAAGAGAATGTGCCTGCCACAGAGACGGGGGAGCGGGGGTGAGGATGGAGTGGGGGTAGTGGGAGGGATATTGGGAACATTGGTGGTGGGGAATGGGCACTGGTGGAGGGGTGGGTACTAAATCATTGTATAACTGAAACGTGATCACGAAAGTTTGTAAGTCTGTAACTATCTCATGGTGATTCATATATATATATATATATATGGTGTATGATCTTTTTTAATATATATATATGAAATGTAATGTGAATCACTTATGCCTGATGAGAGCCTGTCAAGTACTTCAGTACTATATTGAATATGAGTGATGAGACTGGGCAACATTGTCTTTTGCCTGATTTTAGGGGGAAAACTTTTAGTTTTACTCCACTGAGAATAATGCTTGGTAGAAGGCTTTGACTATATATTGAGAAAAGTTCCTTCAATTCCAATTTTGCTGAGAGTTTGCAGCATAAATGGGTGTTGGATCTTGTCAGATGCTTTCTCTTCATCCATTGATATGATCATACAGTTTTTATCGGTTCTTTTATTGATATGATGGATTATGTTTATTGACTTGCAAATGTTAAACTATCCTTGCATCCCTAGGATGAATCCTAATTGATCATGGTGTATGATCTTTTTTAATTGTTGTTTATCAGTGTGGGCCAGAGCAATAGCGTAGTGGGTAGGGCGTTTGCCTTGCACACAGCCGACCTGGGTTTAATTCCTTCGCCCCTCTCGAAAAGCCCAACAAGCTACCGAGAGTATTCCACCTGCACAGCAAAGCCTGGCAAGCTACCCATGACGCATTAGATATGCCAAGAAACAGTAACAACAAGTCTCACAATGGAGATGTTACTGGTGCCCGTTCTAGAGAAAGATGAACAAAGGGAGGACAGTGCTACAGTTTATCAGTGAAATTGTGTATTGTGCCTTCAAATATGAATGAGAGTCTGGCTGGGTAAATTATTCTTGGTGAGGTGTCCATTTCTTTGGTTTTTTTAAAAATATATCCACCACTCTCTTGGGCCGGTAGGGTTTCATCTGATAAGTCTGCTGTTACTCTTAAGGATGCTTCTTTATAAGCAATTTTCTTCCTTGATCTTGCTGCTTTCCATTTTCTATCTCTGTCTATGGTTTTCTTCATTCTGATTAGGATGTGTCTTGGTGTATTTTTATTTGTATTTCTTTTAGCTTGTACCTTTGGGACTCCTAAATTTGGGTGTATGCTCTCTTCAGTTCTGGAAACTTATCAGCAATGATGGTTTTGGCAGTTGCTTCTTCATCAGGATTTTCCTCCTGCCCTTCTGGTACTCCAATTATTCTTATGTTGTTTCTTTTTACTTCATTTGATATTCTCTTGTCATCTCTTGGTTTATTTTGAGGTTTTTCCATCTTCTGTTGTTGTCTGGAGGTTTTCTGCACCTCATCTTGGAGCTCACTAATTCTGTCCTTAACAGCTATTACTGTGCTGCTGAGGCCTTCCAGCGAGTTTTTCATTTCACCTAACAGGTTTTTCAGACCTGTCATATATTCTTGTATTTTTATTTATATTTGCCTCATTTCTGCTCTCAGATACTCTCATATTTTGTTGTCCGTGGGTTTCGTTGTTTCTTTGAGCTCCTAATGCATCCTTTACAGTTCCATTCTAAATTCCTTATCAGAGAGGTTATGTAGCTCATTATGACTGTTTGGATCAACTGGCCTAGCTTCTCCACCTACTAAAGCTGGTGGGTTTCTGTGTTGCTTTACCATTGTGACCTTTAGCTAGTTTCTCCCTTTCTTCACAGGCTGGGTTTCTGGGTATCTATAGAGGATAGTGGCTCTCTTGGTTCCAAAAGCAGGCTCTGATGACAAAGTGAATGGCTAGCCACCCCTTCTCTTTGCAGCTCATTTTTACTTCTGTCATTTTCCCTCACCATAAATTGTTTTAGGCTGGTGGGAACACTCGGTAGGTTTAAAAGAATCATTTAAAAATGATAAAGTACATCATCCAAGAGCGAGTGTGACAATACACAGTGGGTAGTACAAGTTTTTAGACACAGATGAACTATATTTGATCCTTTTCAATACTTATGGTCCTCCCCCCAAGCACTGTCAGAAGTGTTTCCTGAGAGCAGAACCAAAATAATTCCTAAACATTGCCAGGTGTGGCCCCAAAACAAAAACAAACAACGAAGCAAATGCAACATAAATAAGCTTAACAAGTAAGATCTCAAATTTTGTATCAAAACTCAATTGAGGGAAGGTGGGGGTAAAAGGATTGAGGAATTCCCAGGGATAGAACCCCAGGTCCTAAGTATTCATGGACTGCTTTGTACCATTGAGTTGCATCTTTGGCACCCAATTCTTCAATATATAGCAAGCATACACATTCTCACACATAACTTTATAGTTGCAATCACATATGAGTTCACATACCACACTCACCAGCACAAACCTATGTATTCTATCAGATTATATTCATACCACAAATAATTTATAGGACGTCTTCCCTAGGACTTTGAACAGGAATTACTAAGGCTGTTTTGGAACTCACTATCCATATAAGGCACAGTAAGTGGGGAGTTTTCATATCAATATAATTTGGATACTTGATGACTCTTTACATAATTAAAAATGACCAGAAAACGTGTAATTTGAATTATATGAGTTGGCATGAGAAATATTAGGTCTGATATTTTATCAGGAACTTTCCTTCTCTCATCTCATCAGATCTATGATCCCAACAATAAAAGGTATGAGGTTCCAGTGCCACTGAACACCCCTTCCTCTCCAGTGAACTGCTCTAAAGACTGCCTATACGAGGTCAAGATTCAGAACAATCCTTTTGGTATCCAGATCCGACGAAAAGGCTCTGGCACTGTGATGTAAGCACTATATACTTGATTCTCCTTAGAGAAGTTCTAGACCCAATTTCTGGTCCTGATTAATTCTAGTAGAATATTAATCTTAGAAACTCTTCATACACATGATGTGCTTGCAAAAACCAGGAAGAACATCCTTTTCCCCAAAGTTCAATGAGGATTTCATTATCTATTTGTTGTTAATAAAATAAGTGAAATTAGTTTAAAAAATTTAAAAACCAAGTGCTACTAGATATCAGAGAAAGAAGATACAAACCCTCTCTAAGTGCTTATTAAGCTTAATATAAAAATAATAACGCACAACAGATAAGCTAATAGAGAAGTCACTTCTAGAAATACCTCATGATGACAAGATGGTGTAAGTGGGAAAGAAGGGGGAAAGTTAGAACAGAAAACAGGCATCCGGCTGTCTTTGCTGCTCTCAACACTATAGGCTTAAAGCCTTTCCTTAACATGAAGCATGAAAGGAATTAGCTTCTCTCAGTCCTGGTCTTGCTTCAGAAAGGAATGCCTTGAAGCCCTGGACTTGTCCTGGCTCTTCGGTAATCTCCTGGCAGAGACGTACTCTATACGCAGCCTTTGGCTCTCCCTGTGTGCTTGACTTTCTGGTAGTTGCCTTCTTGGGTAAGAAATTCTTTGACCAGTGCAGAAATGGCATACTTTTGACTGAAAAATTTGCTTAGACCTTATTCATGTTCTTTTTTTTTAATGTAGGAGTACTGCTATTTATTCAGCCACTGATTAGCTGATTGAATTGGGCATGAAATCTACCTTACTTTTTTTTATAGTTTTATTTATTTATTTTTCTTCTTATATTTATTTACTGCCTTATTCATATTCTTACTGAAGCTGATATGCAAAGTAATTCAAAGTAAAAGTAAAGAGGTGAGTGAAACCTCTGGCACGACTCAGAAGAGATGTTCTCAGTCTTAACCAACCGCAGAGGAAAAATTCAAACAGGGGTATAGCAATGATCCATAGCTATGCTTAGGGTCTGGATCACCTCACAGAATGGGAATCTGGATTCAGAGGTGGAATAACTGGGAGTCTTCTGAACCAGTGTGATATTCCCGATGTGTCTGCTGTTTGCTGCAGTCAAGCATCAGCTCAACATGGATATTTTCTGTCCTGTTGCAGTTGGGACTCTCAGCTACCTGGATTCACCTTCAATGACAAGTTCCTTTCCATTTCCACTCGCCTGCCCTCTCAGTACATCTATGGCTTGGGGGAAAATGAGCACACATCTTTTAGTAAAAACATGAACTGGACCACGTGGGGAATGTTTGCTCGGGATGAACCACCAGAGGTAAGAGTGTTGATCAATTTATCTCAGATAAATTTCTGTCCATATGCACAAATACATAAATCTGCTAATCTAGTTTCACATGACATTGATAAAGCCTGCTCTCGGGTGAAATCAGTCAGGCGTCATGCTCTTCTGTCCCTAAAAGGCATACCTTGTTTTCCTGTAAGCTCTAAATTCTATTAACTTAATAAGCTTTACTTTCATGTACTCTGCACATGGAGTAGGTCACGAACTTACTTAATAACCCTAGTCTTTCTTGTTCAGATCCTTGTGGTTAGTAAGAGAGAATCAGGAATAATGGTAACATGTAGTCAATGCTACAATAGAAGTATGTAATGATGTACAAAGAGAGTGTAACGTGGAGAGGGCCCTGAACTACTTATTTGGGGTAGAAAGAAGAATCAAAAAATCTTTATACAAAGCTCATGAGGCCTGGTTCCATGGTAGGAAGCTTGCCACAAAGAGGGAGGGGGATGGCGTTAGAACAGAAAAGGGACTTCCAAACAATGGTAGTTGGAAATGATCACTGTGCACAGAAAGGAGGTAACGCGACACGCATGATACCTTTGCAGTAACAATAATGCAAAGCATAGTGTCTCAAAGGAAAATGAAAGGGGGAGAGAGAGAGAGAGAGAGAGAGAGAGAGAGAGAGAGAGAGAGAGAAGAAAAACATCTGCCATAGAGGTGTTAGGGAGGCCTGTCGGCTTCTCCCAGAATCGGAGGCATAGGAAGTGACAGACACAGGGAGAGTTAAACATGAGACACAGATTTATTCTCTCCACACAAGACACAGTGCTGTGGGCTCACAAGTCTAAGAGGTCTGGAGCACTGAACATTTATTTGTTGAGCAGTCAATTTATACCTCAAGCCTCCAATTCATACCCGAATACACCTTACCCCTTCCTAGAATCTAGGATTTAGCATGTGTACAGAAGCAAATCAGGTGGCTAGTCCTACCTGTATCTTCTTTTTCTCAAAAATTACAGCTGGCAGCAGTTAACTCACATTCTGTTGCGGCAGTTTCTACATATTCAGTCTGTTCTGACTAGGTAGAGGACAGGGAGGGGAGTCAAGGCTGGACCTTCAGTTTCTCTGGGTTTAGAACAGTTGTCCGTACTCACAGAGGCAGGCTGCAGGGGTGGGGAATGGGGGAGGCGGATGGGAGGGTAACTGGAGACATTGGTGCTAGGAAATGTGTGCCAGTGAAGTGACGGGTATTGGAACATTGTATGACTGAAAATCATTCATGAACAACTTTGTAATTGTATATCATGGTGATTCAATTAAAATAGAATGTCTTTATAAAGGATGTGACAGGGTGCTGAATCTTGTTGTCAAGTAGGTCTTTGCTATTTGGGTTATGAAATGGGATCATAAAGATGTTTTTGACTGACCTCCTACTCTTCCCATGACCTCTCAGTACAGAACAAATTCCTATGGTGTGCACCCCTACTATATGGCTCTGGAGATGGATGGTAGTGCCCACGGAGTGCTCCTGCTTAACAGCAATGCCATGGGTAAGACAGAGGAATATTCCCCGGGCTCTACCATCAATAGCTGTGACAACTTTATTGAGATCTAATGATCAATAGAAAAAAGATAAACACTTTCCATTCACTTGTTTATCATTGAGCCAAGGTTTAGTAAGAGTGCCAACCTAGGTATAATGTGCTTCCATTTTGCCTAAAAGTACTTTCTATTCTTGCATTAGTTTATTTTATTGCAACACTTTAAACAGTCTGCCAGCCTCACTGTCTCACTTCCTTTTTTCCTTCCTTTCTTCTTTCCCTCCCTCCCTCCCTCCCTCCCTCCCTCCCTCCCTCCTTCCTTCTTTCCTTCCTTCCTTCCTTCCTTCCTTCCTTCCTTCCTTCCCTCCTTGTGAATGTTGACATTGCAATTGCTTGAGGTGGGAGCAGAGAGATAAGTAGAGCAGGTACGGCACTTGCCTTGCACATGGCCAACCCAGGTTTGATCTTTGGGTTCGATCCCATTTTGCTCCCTGAGCATCACCAGGAGTGATTTCTGAGTGCAGAGCCAGGAGAACCCCCTGGTCATTTCGAGGTGTGGCCCAGAAAGAAAGAAAGAAAGAAAGAAAGAAAGAAAGAAAGAAAGAAAGAAAGAAAGAAAGAAAGAGAGAAATTGAGGATCTGCAACTCCATCTCTAGTTCTACAGCATAAGAAAAACCTTTCTAGAAGAGAGAAGGTGAAAGTAGTAACAGAATTTTTATCTTGGTAGGGCAGAATTTTTATCTTAGTAATATACAGTTTCAAGAATGCCTCTCTTCCCTTTCTTCTTTTTTTTTTTCCTGCAGATGTTACCTTGCAGCCTACTCCTGCCCTGACGTTCAGAACCACTGGGGGAATTTTGGACTTTTATATGGTTTTGGGACCAACTCCTGAGCTTGTCACTCAACAATACACGGAGGTTGAAAGTTAGCTAGATAAACTCTATTCTATAAACAGTCAAATATTTATTGGGCATTGCCATATTCTTAGCACTTTGATAGGTCAATTTTTCTTACTACCCTTGAGAATTCCTACTTATTATCTGGAGCGATAGCACAGGGCTGGAGCGAAAGCACAGCGGGTAGGGCGTTCGCCTTACATGCGGCCAACATGGCCGACCCGAGTTCGATTCCTCCGCCCCTCCCGGAGAGCCCGGCAAGCTACCGAGAGTATTCGATATGCCAGACACAGTAACAACAAAGTCTCCAATGGAGACGTTACTGGGCCCGCTCGAGCAAATCGACGATCAACGGGAGGGCCTTTACCTTTACCTTTATCTTTCCTCAAAGTCAGGTTTTAAGGCATAACATTATTCCTGTATGTCTTTGGATTATTTGCTAATTTTTTTACAACTCTCTAATAAGTAATAACCACTGGAGTTTTCAGGTTTCCTAGAATTAGTGTATTCTCAGAGCATAAAGAGAATTTTATATCATCCCAAAACCCCCTAATTGCTCCAAATTTATCTCTTATTTTTCCTGAGGTAGTTTTTTACAGTAATAGAAATCAGTGTAGGTGCTCAAATTGCTTCCCTACAAAGTCTACCTGAATCTATTCTTTTTTCCTTTTTATTTCTAGTTGATTGGTCGTCCTGCAATGGTACCTTACTGGGCCCTGGGATTTCAGCTGGGTCGCCGTGGTTACCAGAATGATGCGGAAATCTACAATTTGTACAAGGAAATGATGGCATCCAGGATTCCCTATGTATGCAAACTTTACTCAGCTTACAATTTTATTAGTCATGGCAACTTGTAGATAGTTGCAGATGAAAAACACAGATAATTGTAGATGGAAGAGCTGCATAAATCCTTTGCAGTAGTCAGTGTGCTTCCATGATCCTGGAGTAGCCATTGTTCTGCTCAAGCCCATGACCTTGGTGACCCCATGCACCTCATCTGCTTCTTCCTGTAGGATGTCCAGCATGTAGACGTTGATTACATGGACCGGAAGCTGGGCTTTACCATAAGTCCCAAATTTCGAAACCTTGAACATTTTATTTGGCGCATGAAGAGTGATGGCATGAGATTTATTATCATTCTGGTAGGTATATAGACTTAGGAAACATTTTCTTTAAAGGCTCATGGTTGAACACTGCCTGGTGTAATCCCCAAACTAAACTAAACAAATTAAGTTTCTCAAGCCTCATCACTGCTGGAAAATGGCACAACTTTAAAGGTTTGGAACTCCTAAAGATAAGATGATTCTAGATACAGATATCTCCTCTAAGTCTCATCCTCAAAGAGTAAGCCTTTATCTTTTTCTTTTTAAGTTTATTGAATCACTGTGAGATAGACCATTACAAAGTTGTCCATGAGCACATTTTAGTCATACAATGTCCCAACACCCATCCCTCCACCATTGTACATTTTCCACCACCAATGTCCCCAGTTTCCCTCCCACACTACTCTACCCTCCACCCCCAGCCTACTCTATGGCAGGCATTTTCCTTCCTTCTCTCTCTCTCTCTCTCTCTCTCTCTCTCTCTCTCTCTCTCTCTCTCTCTTCTCTCTCTCTCCTCTCTCTCTCTTCTCTCTCTCTCCCTCTCTCTCTCTCTCCCCCCTTTTGTGCTGTATGGTTTGCAATACAATTAAGATGTCATCATATTTGTTCCTTTACCTACTTTGATACTTTGATACTTTGATACTTTCATCACACAGTTCATCAGTCATTATGAACTGGAATTCAATGATGTACAATCCAGTCCTGGAATTTGGAACTCTAGTCCCTAGAAAGTTTTTTTGTTCTTAAAGCAAAATTGCTATTACACTGTGAGTAAATAGTAATTTGTCTTTTTTTCATTTGAATTTATGCATTAACTGGGTTTATTTCTAGAAATAACTTTCAAATATTAACATTATTTTCACTGAAGAATTTTATAGTGAAACATGAATCTATTATTTTTACTTCTCAAAAACTCAGTAACCACAAGAGAATTTATCCATGAAGTTTCTTATGTTTTTGATTTTTTGTCGTGAAGACTACCATTGCGATATGCACTATAGATGGTTATAATATTGGGAAAGACATTTCTCGGGAGAGTGCTCATTACTTTCCATGTCTTAAACTCTTTCATTACAGAACCCTGCTATATCTGGCAATGAGACCCAGTATCTCACATTTACCAGAGGGAAGGAAAATGATGTATTCATCAAATGGCCCGACAGCAGTGATATTGTCTGGGGAAAGGTAAAGCCAGGGGAAGATGATGGTCAATCAGTATTGCAATGTCCTGATTAAAATATTCTAAATAAATCTTGAAAAATAGTGAATAATTAACAAATTGTGAGTTAGTGAAACTCTGATACTGATGAACTCAATGAATATTAAATGACTGCAGGTCTGATTCTTTAAATTATCAGCTTTGTGTTGTTGTCTGGAAATATTCTGATGCTCTACCCTTAGGTGTGCCAGTTGAACATATAACTGTCAGAAAGAATTATTTTGAAACTGTCTCAAGTGTGTGTCTCCCAGACACCCTCACTCAAAACTTGGGACTTATATGTGACTCTCTGACATTTAGGTCTGTAATTATCCTTCTCTCTCCAGTACTTCTCATTTATATCTCATCTTCATTGTTTAACTAAAGAAATAGCATTTCAGGTAGAACCAGTGTTTCTTAATTCTGAATGGGAGTAGTTCTTAGCTAGGTTTCAAACTCTGCTCTGTCATTCTACAATGCTGCATCTTATTTTCGAAGTAAATGCCATGCTCTCAACGTTTTTGAATATCACTTTGTCAGAGTTCCCAGTCAGTACCTGTACCTCAAAACCAATGCAATCTTCCCTTGTATAAAGTATTCCATGAATGGGTTCATTTTCCCTTTTACTCTTGTCTCTATTTCTGTCCTTCAAGAATATGGCTCTATATACTATATAATTAAGGATATATGTTCTATCTGTGAATTTTTACAAAACAAGAAATATTTATGTCTCAGTAGATAGAATTCATGAAAGAGAATCTGGCAGATAGTAAGTGCTTAGTAATTGTTTATTTAATAAATAAATTGATTAACAGATTTAGTTTATATCCTTTCAATTAGACATGACTGTGGTTCATTCTATGGATTTTTAAAATTCTACATTTACTTAAAGTTTCCAATAACTTATAAAGCAATTGACATGCATTAAAACTGAATGGATGACTTGTGAAAGGAACTCAGTCTTATTTCTTTGGATTTATACTTCTCACTTGTAATTTTAAAAGAAATTTTGTTTTGGATTATGACAGGCATAACAGAATAATCATTTGAAAGATGATTGTTCATAGGAAATCTTAAAGACAGATTTAGCTTACTATGATTAAAAGATATGATTTTGAAAACTTCTGAAATAAGTCAAGAGATCCCAGCCCATTTTGACCAAATAGAAATTTATATATCAGGGCCAGAGAGATAGTACAGCAGGTAAGGCACTTGCTTGCATGTGTCAGACCTGGGTTTCATCTCTGGCACCACGTATGGTCGTAGCATTACCAGGAGTGGTTCTTGAATGCAGAGCCATAAGTAACTCCTAAGCATTGCCAGGTTTGCCCCCCCCCCAAACAAAACCAAACAAAAGCTAAACAAAATAAAGGAAATTTATATATTCAGACTTACCAATTTAATTAATGTATCACTATCCTCCTGTTCATCGATTTGCTCAAGTGGGCACAAGTAACCTCTCCATTGTTAGACTTGTTACTGTTTTTGGCATATTGAATACACCATGGGGAACTTGCCAGGTTCTGCCGTGTGGGCACAATACACTCGGTAGCTTGCCGGGCTCTCTGAGAGGGACAGAAGAATCAAACCTGGGTCGATCATTAATGCAATGATCCAAAATAATCTTCACTGTCACTGTCACTGTCACCCCATTGTTCATCGATTTTCTCGAGTGGGCCCAGTAACGTCTCCATTGTGACACTTGTTACTGTTTTTGGCATAGGGAGATAAAATATAATTATAATATTTTGTGAAATATGAAATATTCCTTGTCATTCAATGCTGTATAAATGTTTGATTTTTCCTTCTTTTCCTGTAGGCTTTGCCTGATCTGCCTAATGTGAATGGGAATGAATCCCTGGATCATGAAAGTCAGGTAAAGGTATAGTTGCCCACACATTTTTGTTGCCAAGGTCCTAAATATCTGAAGACATGACTTTTTATTCCAGTCCTTGTTTAAGAAGATTTAAGTTGAGTGTATTTATTAGCTGTTGTCCCAAAATTCCAAATGATATCAGACCACCATTTCCTTTATGCAAAATTCTACTTCACATAGTGGGGATAAAGGGCTGCAAAGTTTAAGAAGAGAACTCCCAGAACGACCACCAACTGGAAGCTCTTTGGCACTATAGTGGCAACCTGGGAAGATGCTGTCATTGACAACACTGACGAAGAATACGACCGGCTGGTTCAGCACCTCCCTGATGGTGCAAGGAACACCAAGATAAAGATAGCCACAAAAAGACTCCTGTCTTTGAAAACTTTCAAGCTTATTCGTCAACGTGGCATGGTGCAAGCCTCAGGCAACCGCAAGTGAATGTCTGAGCTCACAAAGCAGTGTAGAGAAGCAATAAAGGAAGACCTCAAAGAGAGAAGAGCAGCAGTTCTGACAGATGCGGCAGAAGCCGGGAAAAGCATTCTCAATGCCCACCTGTCCTTCGCCAGCTACAAGACCAAGATGACTGGCCTCTGACGTCCTGATGGATCTATCACATCTTCCAGAAGGGCAATGAAGAAGATTATCCATGACTTCTACTTGGATCTCTTTGATAGCAACATCCACCTTCCCACATACCAAATTCCACAGGATGGATATGTTGTTCCCAACATTCTCCCTTCCGAAATCTGACGTGCCATTTTCTCAGTAAAGAAGCAAACAGCACCCAGTCCAGACAAGGTCAGACCCAAATACCTGAAGAACCTTTCACTCAGTACTCATCAACACACTGGCTTCACACACTACCTGTCTGAATGCAAGGTTTCATCCCAATGGAAAACCAGCAGGACTGTACTACTGTACAAGAAGAGAGACATTCACGACATTGGCAACTATTACTCAATCTGCCTATTGTCTGTCGTCTACAAGCTGTTCATTTGAGTCATCCTGAATATGATTGGCAGAACACTAAATGAAGGGCAACCATGGTTCTGAACAAGCCGGGTTCTGAAAAGGATACAGCATGATCGACCATATCCACATGATAACCAAGCTCATTGAAGTTTCTCGGGAGTTCAAGATGCCGCTCTGTCTAACATTCATTGATTTAGAGAAGGTCTTTGATTCTGTTGAGACTGAAGCGGTCATCGAAGCCCTAGCCAAACAGTGTGTTCAAACTCAATACATCAGAATCTTCCGTGAGCTGTATTACAGATTCACTACCAGGATCTCACCATTCTGCAAGGAAGTGATCATCCATGTCAAGAGAGGCATTCAGCAGGGTGATACTATTTCACCAAAACTCTTAAGTGCCACCCTCGAGAATGTCATGCAATGACTGGAATGGGAAGGAATGGGAGTGAAGATAGATGGTCGGCAACTACATCACCTCTGGTTCGCTGATGACATCGTTCTAATAACACCAAACGTTAACTAAGTGGCACAAATGCTGGCCGACTTTGACCGTGAGTGTGAAAAGGTGGAACTACAGCTGAATCTCACAAAGACAATATTAGAAATAGTCTCGTTCCTGACGTTCCATTTGCTCTCAACAGAAGGAACATCTCCGAATGCAAGAGTTATGTGTGCCTAGGTCAAGAAGTCACCATGACGAATGACCTGGCACCTGAGTTGTGCAGGAGGAAGAGAGCAGCTTGGAACGCCTTCAAGAGCGTTGAAGAAATAGCTAAGAGGACGAAGAACCACTGACTCCAGGCACATCTCTTCAATTCCACTGTTCTTCCTGCATTAACATATGCCTCAGAGACCTGAGCCCTAGGAAAACAGTATGAGAACGGGGTCTCCCAGAGAGGAATCGAAAGAACTATGCTTGGAGTATCATGCTTCACTCAAATGAGCGAAAGAATGCGGAGTTCGACTTCCTTCAACAATCAAGAATCAGGGACGCTGTCTCATTTGCCAAGGCGTAGAAAATCAGATGGGTTGGACACATAATGAGATTTAGAGATGACCATTGGACTAGAGCCATTACTGACTGGATTCCACTGGACGTCAAAAGATCTTGTGGCCGCCCACCTACGAGATAGTCAGACTTCTTCGTCAAGACCCTGAGCGATCTGTTTGAGGCTCTTCATGTTCCTGGAGTGAGCAGAAGCCATTGAGCTACACTAGCATGTGACAGGGTCAAATGGAGACGTTACTGGTGCCCGCTCAAGCAAATCGATGTGTAATGGAATGTCAAGTGATCAAGTGATCAAGTATTTATTAGCTAGTAATTTCTTGACATAAAGAAATCCTGAAATTGAGGAAATTACAAGGAAAAACTGGCTATGTGTTGCAGAAAATCATAGAGGAAATATCTCCACCTGTATGCCTTGAATGGGTTGCAGTATGGTCAACTACATGATAGTTTGAAAATAATGAATTGAAATTCAGGATATTTTTATTGGTGAGATTATGAACATTATGGTTTTAATAAATTGTCTATACATAAAAAATTATTTAATCTAGCTAAAAAAATAATTTCCTTTTTCTTCACTGCTAATGTCATTTCAGACTGGACATCAGTTGTCTTCTCTACTCTGTAGATCATTTTTCCCTGGAGCACCACTGCCCTTAATTTTCCCAGTGTTTTTTTTTAAAGACATTTTATCTCTAAATTGCTGTGATTTAGACACTAGTAATAAACACCATGGTTCATAAGATCAAATGCCCCATCACAAAACAATGTTATTTTTAAAAAGGGATTTAAGACGACCTAAACTTTTAGGAAAATAAAGAATGAAATATTAATCTTCTTTGATCACATTCTGCCCACAGTGAACTCGCACAGCTGAAGTGAGCTGAGACATAGTCATAGAGTGTCTTGTACAGGAATCTGCTTATCATCTCATCATGGCCCCACACTTTTTCCTTGGGTTAATCTGAGACCTAAATTGAGAGCATATGTTGTTCTTGCAGATGTACAAAGCCCATGTTGCTTTCCCTGACTTCTTCCGTAATAGCACAGCTGCGTGGTGGAAGAAAGAAATCCAGGAACTCTACACAAATCCTCTAGATCCAGAGAAGAGCTTGAAGTTTGATGGGTTATGGATTGTAAGTAACCTTAGTGATTTTGCTTTGGAACTACTAGTAGTAAAAACATGAGGAGGCAGTTCAGATCCCATAAAAGTTTGCATCTAGGGGAGGAGGAATGAGAAAGGTTGGGCGTTACCATTAGAGTTGAGGTACAGGGAGTGTTCATGATTGTAAGATCAGTGCCCTCTACAGAAAAGCCACTTGTGCCTCTGTCGTGGAATCTTTTTTTCTTAATTTATTTTTTTTAATTTTTATTTTATTGAATCACCATGAGATACTATTATAAGCATTTGTGTTTGAGTTACAATCATACAATGATCAAACTCCCATATCTCCACCAGTGCACATTCCCCACCACAAGTCTCCCCACTATACGCTCCTTTTCCAACTCTCTCCCTGCCTCCATGGCAGACAATATTCCCCATAATCTCTCTCTCTCTATTTTTTTGGGGGCATTATAGTTTGCAATAAAGATACTAAGAGGTTTATCATGTTTGGTCCTTTGTCTACGTTCAGCACACATCTCTCATCCTGATTGATCCCTCCAACCATCATTGACTTAGTGATCCCTTCTCTATTCCAGCTGCCTGCTACCCCCATTCACTAAGCAAGTTTCTAACTATGGAGCAATCTTCCTGGCCCTTGTGTCAACTGTCTTTGGGTGTCCATCTCATATTATATTGAGGCTGGAGCAATAGCACAGCAAGTGGGCGTTTGCCTTGCATGTGGCCGACCTGGGTTCGATTCCCAGCATCCCATATGGTCCCCCGAGCACTTCCAGGAGTAACTCCTGAGTTCAGAGCCACGAGTAACTCCTGAGCATCACCCTGTGTGATTAAAAAAAAAGACAATCTCATGTTATATTATTTTATTTTCAAAAAATAACTGCAGTCCTATGTTTTTCCATCTCTTTCTGACTCATTTCACGTAGCACGATGCTCTCCATGTCTATCCACTTATAAGCAAATTTCATGACTTCATCTCTCCTCACAGCTGCATAGTATTCCATTGTGTAGATGTACCAAAGTTTTTTTTAATTTGATTGAATCACCGTGAGATGTATTTTAGTCACTGTGTCTTTTGAAGTGCAGAAACTTCTTAGTTTGATGTAGCGTCATTTGTTTATGTTTGTTCCATTTGCTTGGTCCGTGGTGTTTCATCCTTAAAGATGCTTTTAGCTTCAATGTCATGGAGTGTTCTGCCTACATTTTCCTCCATGTACCTTATGGATTCAAGAAAGAATCTTTATTGCTCACACATTACAGGATATGAATGAGCCAACAAACTTTGTGAATGGTTCTATCAGCAGCTGCAAGGATGAAATTCTCAACAAGCCACCCTATATGCCATGTATGTAAAACTATTGCTTTATTAATTGCTATGTAATGAATTCATATAAAAATGAGTAAGTGAAAATAAGTGAATTACTAATCAAATATAGAAATAATGACTTGATGTGATGTGGTATGAAAGAAACCAGGAATTGCATCGACATCAGGCATATTGCTTACTACAAGCTAATTGCTAAAACGGTAAATTATTTCCTACTCCACTCCTCTTGATTAGAGTAAAAATATAATTCCTGCATTCTTTCTGCCATGTTCACATATACCTCATAAGCAGCACTCGCTAACTGTCACAAGGTACTAATAGAGAATCTAAGATCCTTGTGATCAAAAGAAATTCTCAGAAATTCAAATTCCTTCGCTTCACAGAAATACAAGAAAGATATTTACTCATTTTCTCAAAACATTGTACTAGTAATTTGTGAAACAATACCTAAATCTAAGTTTCAGAATGTCTAAGACAATGCTATGTTATCCGTTATTTCCTCCCTCTCTCCAGTCATTCATTCATTTCTCCCTCTCCCTCCCACCTTTCTTTTCCTTTTTCTTCCTTCTTTCACTCCTTTCTTCTCCTTACTTTCTTAATAGTTGCGTTCTAAGCAAGTGTTCACAAATCTAGAGATTTTTGATTTGCACAATTAATTGAAAGAATTATTCCTTGTAAATATTACCATCTTGTGAATGTAGCAGTCATAGTCACAAGGGAATTGATTGTGTAAAAATATGAGCTATGAGGACAAGTATGAACATTAGAGTTGGAGTAAAACTTAAGCTGCCTTAAAGGCAGCCCCATATCCTGTCCTCGCCCTTTATTAGATATTGAGTCAGAGAATGTTTAAATCTGAAAGTATATCTGCTCTTAACAACAAAATTCTTCATTCGAATAAATGTCAAAATAATGTACATGTCTAGTGGATATGCAAATTTAATCATTTGAGAAATAATCTAGCATTTTTTCTCTCAGATCTAGCATCCAGGGACAGTGGTCTAAGCATCAAGACCCTCTGTATGGAGAGTCAGCAGACCCTGCCAGATGGTTCCCTGGTACAACACTACAATGTGCACAGCCTCTACGGGTGGTCCCAGGCCAGACCCACGTTCGAGTGAGTGTGTTTTTCATTTCTGGTGCCAAGGATCAATCTTCACATGGTTACTTTTGTCTCGTAATCTATATACTGAGCTTGATCAGTGTGATGCCAGTTAAGTAGCTAAATGTCAAAATATCAGGAATGGTTGCCTTCTGAGTGCCCTTATTAAGGTAGACTGTTAAATACGCTATTAAAAATGAATGCTCACATGGTGGTTAGCATACTCGTAGAGCTGAAAAACAATTACTGCAACTAATGTTTAGGACATTTTTATTACCGACAAAGGACAGTCTCTATTCACTAACAGTAATATCCAACCTCCTCAAAAAATCCCAAGTTCTGACAGTTACAGATAACAAACAACAAATAATTGTTTTTACATATGGATTGCTTTTTCTGAGCATTTCACACAAATTAAATCATTGTTTTATTAAAAACATAAAATGTCATAAATAAAAAATTTATGACATTTTACATTTTTCACTTGAAAATATTTTATGTACCCTCTATGCTATAGCATATATCAGTACTTTAATCCTTTCACTGATGGATAAATTTCTGTTGTATAGTGTAACAAATTTGTATATTCACATACCAGTTAGTGCATATTCATGGCATTTCTACTTTTTGGCTATTATTAACGATGGATTGAATATTCATGTACTAGTTTCTGTTTTTGCTTTTCTCTCTCCCTCTTTTTTTTTTACCTCAATTGTCATGTTTCTTCTTTGTTGGTTTATATATGTCTCGGAGAATTTCTGATAGTGACTCCATGTTTGTAATTTTGAGGAAATTCCAATGTTTTTCAAACTGTAAGTCCACCATTTTATATTCTCACCAGAAATATATGAAAGTTTCAATTTCTCTGTCCCTTTAACAATACATGACATTAAACATCTTTTGTATAGTCATTCTAATAACTATGAAATCATAATTTATTGTTTCGATTTTTTTTCCTGGTGGACTCTATTGATAGCCATTTACCCACACGGGCTTCTTAGCCATTTATATTTATTTATATGTGTCATTTGAAGAAATGTCTATTTACATCTTTCACCATTTTAATTTATTTTATATTTATTTCTTTGTTGGTGTTTTATTTTCCACACGCAGTGGTACTCAGGATTTAGTCCTGGCTCTGTGCTCAGGGATCATTTCTGGTGATTCTCTGGGAGCTATATTCAGTTTCAGGGATTGAACCATGGTTGGTCATATGCAAAGTAATCACCTTACCGTGTACTATCTCTACAGCCCCATACTATCTACATGCCCCTGTTCATTTTAGAAAGAGGGCTATTTATTCTTTTATTATGAATTTTAAGAATTTCTTTATATTCTGGATGCAAGTTATTAAGAAATATGATTTGCAAATATGTCTGGGAGAAGAACTGCAAAAATTCTTACATTCTGCAGTATTTTTGCTTCTATGTTCATCTAAGTTAAAGTACAGATATTTTTATTTTTAGTGTCTCTGTTTTGTGTGTGTGTGTGTTTGTATGCATGTGGGTGTGTTCACTTTTGTATTTTTGTTGTTAGGAAATATAATAATAAGTAAATTAAATAGATTTGCTTTGAAAGGAAGCAAACTTTACTACCCCATAATATATGCTTTGGGGAAAAATATTTTGAGCTGATTATTTTTTCAAAACATAGACATTGAAAAGCTCTGGAGACTAAAGTTTCACATTAGGAGACATTAGCATATATCAAGAAAAATATACATCTCTAAGTGTCTTTCTAGATTTATCAGAAATGTGCAAATGACCAGATAAGTGGATAGCTTATCAATGGAGATATAATTGCCATATTTTTTATGATTTTCTGACCATCTACCATAACTGCTTCCTATATCCACATCTTTTTATCTTTAGCTGAAGGCTGTATTTAGGGTAACAATCTGTATTGTTTGGATTATACAGTCCTCTCTGGTCATTCCCAAGTGTACAGAAGATATAAATGTCATCAGACTTGTGTTTTTCTCCTGTTAAGCTTTCCTTTATTACAAGGGGTATCTTAGTCAAGAACCTAGAAGATAGAAGAATAATTATTCATTTATTTACTTGTTTTTTGTGGGGAGGCCACAACCAGGGCTGGTGCTCGCATCTTATTCTTATCTCTGTACTCAGAAAGAACATTTAGTGGTGCTCAGGGGAATATATACAGTGCCAGGGACTGAGTCTGTGTAGGAAGCTATTATTTTTATTACTAATTTCCTGAGGGTTTGGGCACACATGACAATGTTCAGGGACTTCTTGTTTTGTGCTCAGGGTTCATCTATGATAGTCCTTAGGGTACTTCACTCTGAGCCAGAGACTGAACCAGGGCCAGTCTACATGCAAAGCTTGTGCCCTAATTCTTGTACAATCGCGCTGATTCAAAAATTATTCTTCACCCTTTCAGTTATCCCTAGAGTATCTTACTTCTTTGCCTGGAATCATTTATTTGAAAATGTTGGTGTTTTCTTATTTGTAATGCATTTTAATGAAATATTTGAATTTCATGTACTAGTATCTATAAATAGACTTTCTCTTTTTTCCATTGATTTTTCTCACAAATTGTGTTTTATTTTCTAACTGAGGCTGTCTTCAGAAGAATCAATTGCCACAGAGAGAGGTTTAATTTAATTTAGATATGTTTTTCTCTGTATGCAAAGCTTTTGCATCTTTCTGAGAAGTAGAATACTAGTTAATACTACCAGGGCTGGAGTGATAGCACAGCAGGTAGGGCATTTGCCTTGCAAGTGGTCCAACCTGGGTTCAATTCCCAGCATCCCATATGGTTCCCCAAGCACAGCCAGGAGTAATTCCTGAGTGCATGAACCAGGAGTAACCCCTGTGCATTGCTGGGTGTGACCCAAAAAGCAAATAAATAAATAAAATATTTTTAAAAATACTACCAAAGAGCTGTAGTCACATGTAGGTTTATTTGGATTCCAAATCTGCCCCCTTACTCTTTCAAAGTACTTCAATCAATCATCTAATGTATCTGTGCCTCACTTTCATAGCTGTAAAATGGAGGCCAAGGAAATCTTCCTTGTTTGGTTGTGAGACAGAATACATGATAGTGACAAGGATAGTTCCCAGAAAAGAATGGTTCCATAAAGATTTATTCTATATCTTGTTCAACTCAATTTTGTTGTTGTTGTTGTTTTTCTTTTTGGATCACTCCTGGCGATGCACAGGGGTAACTCCTGGCTTGTGCACTCAGGAATTACTCCTGGTGGTGCTCAGGGAACCATATGGGATGCTGGGAATCAAAGTCATTTGCAAGGCAAATGCCCTACCCACTGTGCTATCAGTCCAGCCCCTTGTTCAACCCTTTTAATGCTATTCTTTATGATAACTCATTGGTTAAATTTGTTTTAAAGAAAGGAATAAAATCACCAAAATTTTAGGTAATGGCATATCTCTAGCTGACCTAATATAACACCTAACGTGTCTAGCCTCACTTTAAATATCAGGGGCTTTCAGCTAAGAAATCCTCTGACTCCAACTGGAAGAACACTGCTCTCTCCTGCTGCACTGTCTGTAGAGAACTTGACTGACTGAGAAATAAGCAGGCTTTCACATAATCAAGAAAACCCTTACTCAAAAATAAGAATCATGATCCAGGTCCACGACCAAGAGATAATACCAAGGTACATCTCACCAGGATCAGGGGACAGCTAGTTTTTAAAAAATTAGGCAGCAACATGTCAGAGTTTAGATTATTTGTTCAGAACTCTTTGGATTGGTTGAACTCCGAGTCCTCACACAGAAGCCAGAGTGTATGGGCCTTTGTAGCCATCAGCAGATGGTGTCCTGGATACTTTGACATTAGGGAGAAAAGAGACAATGGCTGAGTCAGGCTTCACTCAACACTCACCCAGAAGTCTCACCATGATTTGTGCGAGACAAGGCAAAGTCTGATTCGAAGTAGTTTCACAAGTGTCATGACCTTCCATCTTCAAGTTCACCTTCAATTCACCTCCTTCTTCTCCAACCAGAGCTGTGCAGGAGGTGACAGGACAGCGAGGGGTTGTCATCACCCGCTCCACATTCCCCTCTTCAGGCCGCTGGGGAGGTTATTGGCTAGGAGACAACATGTCCAAGTGGGACCAGCTGAAGAAATCTATCATTGGTATGTGGGTTTGTTCTCAGGGGTCTCTGCTGGTCTAGAGGGTTTGGGCTGGGTACACTTCAGCTGCCTTAGCCATAACTAATCACCTTTCATGTGGTTGTGACCTCAGCAGGAACTAGGTTTATTTAGGGGACTGAGTTTTAATTTACATCTATCTTTCATAAGTGGTCATAAGTAGTCCAAGACTTTCAGATGGGATAGGTAGGTAGAGTCTACTCACTCAAAGTGTTGTTTCTTCTTTGCATTGCAGGCATGATGGAGTTTAGTCTTTTTGGAATACCTTATGTAAGTAGTATTACATTTTTAATTAATTTTTCAGACATTTTATTGTATCTGAAACTCACAGAAGTCTCAACTTTCACGGTGATTTTGCATCTTCTCAGACAGGAGCAAATATTTGTGGGTTCTTAGGAGAAGCTGAATATGAGATGTGTATTCGCTGGATGCAACTGGGGGCCTTCTATCCCTTTTCCAGAAACCACAACACCATTGGGACAAGGGTGAGATGGCAATTTATGCTTCTGATGCTTTGTGTTCTCCAATTACAGCTTCTTTCTAACTTTTGAGAGTATCATCACATTTATTTGAAACAAATGACATAATCTCCATTTGTTGAAAATTCACAGGATTTGAAACTCTAAAGTGATCAATGATTTTCAAAAAATTTTTCTTTGGTGGGTACACCCAGCATTGCTCAGTGTTCACTACTGGCTCTGTGCTCAGTCAGAGATCACTCCAGGTGGTGCTTGGGGGACCATACATAACGCAGAGGATTGAATTCAGGGTCAGCTGCATACAAGGCAGGTGCCTAACCTACTGTACTATCACTCTAGTCCCTCAATAAAATTTTTTAATAAATCTTTAGGAATTAGAGCCTGTAAGGAGAGAAGTTTTCTATGGAACTAAAATAAAAGGATCTTCCTTTGCTTTGACCACCACACCTCCCACCCCCAAGTTCCATGCCTGGAGTAGTCTTTGCACACCTCTGGATGTGGCCTCCAAAGAAAACAACCAAAAGAAATTTGAATTTGTGTTTTACTCCAACCCATCCAAGGCTGGCCTCGGCATTCCTTTCTCAAGCCATGTGCTGGGCCACAGATAGGCCTGTGCAAGGGAATTAGGTATCCATGATAAAGAGGAGAAGCAGAAAGTTTTAGTATAGTGAGTTGAAAGAGGTGTGTGTGGGCAGGAACATAGGTAAACATAAATGGACAAAGGCTTTGTAACTTCTATCTGGGCTATGTGCTTTACTGGATCTGTTTCTGCTTCTTTACCTATTTAGAGACAAGATCCTGTGGCTTGGGACACAGACTTTATGACAATGTCCAGAGAGGTCCTCCAGACAAGATACAAACTGCTGCCTTATTTGTACACGCTGATGCACAAAGCTCATGCGGAGGGTAGCACAGTCGTTCGGCCTCTTCTGCATGAGTGAGTGGAGCCTGAGATCCCCCCAAGGGTGCACCTGGCCATGTTTGGCAAATGACCCATTGCAACACTCATCCAGTATGTTATATTTTTCATATGTACTTTTTAAGGTTTATGAATGACACCATGACGTGGAAGATAGACGAGCAGTTCATGCTGGGCCCCGCCATCTTAATCAGTCCAGTGCTGCAAAGTGTGAGTCTCGCATTAAAGACCAGGAACTCCAATCACGTCATCTAAAGAACAGGAAGGGTGTTTTAAAGATTATTTGTCAAATCTCACTATTTTCAGACAAATATATTTTTAGAACATCTAAAGGAGATCATTTAGCCAGATTTCCGTTTGCATGAAAACTTCACATGCCCGGATGAATTTTTTTCTTAGTTTCTTGTCATCTTACACCCTTTTAAAATGTGCCTTAAATTTTTTTTTATTTTTCTGTATGTTTGGAGAGTTCCTCAGAATGTTCTTCAATCAAATTCCCCAAACTCTAAAAATAATTAGAAAAATATTGCAATTTTAAAATGTTAACTGCACAGAATTTTAAAAAATAAAATTATTGGATTATTCATAATGGTTTGTTCACTTTCTTTTTCAGAACACCTCTAAGATCAATGCTTATTTTCCCAAATCTCGCTGGCTTGACTATTACACGGTGAGCATGATGAAGAATCACTTGTTCCATGCAGGGTGAAAACAATGCAGCTTTCTCCTGACTTCCAGACATGTTCTTACTATGGCAGTTATTTTCCATCTATCAGTCATGTGAGATTTGTTTGAAGGTATCCATGTAATATGAATAGTATGAATAGGCAAAATCTGGCACCCACATCACATCTCTCCCCAACCTCTTTCCAACTTGTCTGAAGATCTGAAACAAGATTTTTCAGAGGACTTAGCCAAGATAAAATATCAGAGACTTTCTCCTTAGGTGTAGAGTTTTTTGATGACTTCCTAACATGCTTCCTTGGATTGGAAGGACCTTTAACTAAGCAAGTATTCCTTTCATTAACCATTATCCCTTGCCTACATTCTCTTTTCTAGGAAACTCTCATTGAATCTGTTGGTGAGAGGAAAGTCCTAGAGGCTCCCCTTAACCGTATAAATCTTCATGTCAGAGCAGGCTACATCGTGCCTTGGCAAGAACCTGGAATGAACACTTACCTTAGGTAAGGAGAGAACCCACTTCACCTTCCGGAGGCAGCTTTACAAGGAGGTGCCATCTTGACCCAAGTTCTGTTGATCAATAAACCAAATAATAGACACTTTTGTGATTCTCTGAGTGTCTTCTGAGTGGGGTCTGAGGGAGCATGAACTCAGGAAGTTCTACTTGAAAAATAATTATTTGTAGATATGTCGAATGTCCAGGTCAAAAATTTTCCCAAGGGAAACCTATTTGTATGCAGTTTTTAAAAGAATGTGGGACTATCAATGAGCACTTTGATTGGATATTCTACTCAGGAATTTAATGTTCATTCTCAGGTCTACATTAGTCCTTCTCCAAGGAGAGGTAGCATGTCAGTGTATATTCACATAATATGTTAAGAAGGACATAACATGTTCTCCTTAGAGAGAAGCACATAAAAAGACACTAATAACTCGAATGGAGAGAGTCACTTTCAGCTTGTACTATGAGATTTGGTTTTGCATGAAAGAGGACTTTGAACTGAGTCTTGGAGAACAACTAGAGTTTAAATGTATAAAGATGATGAAAGAGATAGTTCAGGATTGAATCATAGGAGGTGAAAATTATTTTGACAGGATAGATAAATCCTTCAGTTTAAATGGAGGATTAATAAGGGAGAGATAAAAACAAGTAAAATTCAAGAAGGTTAGGTTCAAGTCATGATTGTAAAGACAGGATAAAAATTCTACTTTTTATATTGCAATAATATGTAAATAATTGAATGGCTCTGGGAGGAGTTTTCTTTCTAAGAAATTTTTATGTTACATTACTTATATGCAGATTTGCATTATGTGCACTTAGTTTTTTGAAAGTTGAACCTTTACCAAATGTTTATTATGTTTTAAATATTTTATTCTATTACAATTTAAGTATTTTATATTTTACCTATTTTTTTGAATTTTATATTTTTCTGTATGAGATTATTTTCAGCAGAAGCTGTCCGTCCATTCTTATATTCTGCCTTTTGAGCTTTATTTTAAAGATAAAAATCTTCATTTTTTTATAGCCGACAACAAGTCATGGGGTTGATTATTGTTTTGAATGAAAATTTGGAAGCTGAAGGTGAGATGTTCTGGGATGATGGACAAAGCATTGGTGAGTACGAGCTTTCCAGAGTCTCCATAAAGCACTTAGAGAGAACAAAAGTGTAGAGACTCAGGCCCAAAGTAAAACTCTGTAATTGTTAGCATAGCCATTGGGTTGTTAGCGCCCTTTCTCATTTGCTTATTCGTGGACAGTATCCCCAAATTATTCTAAAGCAATTGATGCTTCTCATCTTTGAAGATTCAGCACATTGATGATCCAGATTCATTCGGGGGTGATTCACCTCTGATAAATCATCTCATTCTACTTAACCTTTTTTGGTTTTGCTTTGGGGTCACACCTGGGAATTCTATTAAACTTGGGTTTGCTGCTTGCAAGGCAAGTGCTTTACTCACTGTGCTGCCTCTCCAGCCCCTAAATCATTTCTCTCTAATACAAGAATCTGGATGCAAACATCAAGTACACCATTCATTTTTAGTGGTTCATAGACTCTTTTTCCCCCCACTAAGTATACCCACTCAGGAGACAAACTAGTCAAGAAAATTTCCTGATAATTTTCTCATAATTAGGGAATTAAAAGTTATTAACAGGATACTTACATCAACGAAATATTACTTTGTATGCTTTCTTTCCCAAGCCCAAGCATAGGATTGTTCTACCCTAGACAGTTAATGTTTGGTCAGATAATTAGAACATTCCCTTTCTCGGAGATTTCTATAGATTTCTATAGAAATATTGAAGCACTATTCCCCATGGCTGTCCATTTGCCAACAGTTATCACTACACAGCAGAATATTCAAAACATAATATATCACAGTTTCTAAAATTATGGTTTATTTGCTGGTAATATTTTAAAAGATTTTCTCTGTATAAAATAATATATTCTCATTACAGAATATACTGAAAACATTCCAAAATAAATACTTAGTAAAAACAATATTTTCAATATTTTTGTTGGGTTGTCCTATTTTTATATTAAGAAAATGCTTTTTATGTAGCTGAAATAGTACATGTTAAATTTTTACAGAAATGGTTCTTTGAATTTAAAATAATGAGATAACTATGTCTATTATATATTTCCTATAAAGACAGTTATAATTACCAAACTGCATTGAGAGGATAATGTTATAACTAACCTGACTTTTGTAATGCCTCCCTATGCAGAAAACGGGATACTTTCACCTTTCATTATTATAAATAATAGCTTGAGCACTAATTTTTGTTTTCATATTCAGATTATCTCAATTGGGTAGATGCCTAGTAAAATTATTGGCTTTTAATCGTCTTGATTTTTATTTATAAAAACAAAGTGCATTTGTTTTTAATAAAAAGTCTTATAATGTATAAATACATTTATAATATGGATATTCCCCCTTTTAGTCCGTTATAGTGAGCTGTCTTCCATTCCCAGTCTTCTAATCTGGGTCCTGGAAACCACAGATCTTCTTTCTATCACTCTGGATTAAAATTGTCTTTTCTAGATTATGTTTTGTGAGGCCATACCAAGTGGTACTTAGGAGATAATTCCATCCTGGTGCTGAGAGATTAATTCTGGTAGTTCTGTGGAGACCAAGTGATACCAAGGATTGAGCCCTGGGTTGAATTAGGAGTTTGATACACAGACTTAACAAGCAAGAGCCATAATTTTTAGACAAATGACATTCCACACACAGATAAAAATGAATTGAGGTGAAATCTTGATAAATAAAAACCTCAAGTGAGGGACATTTTAGGAGTTCTCTGGAGTATAGTTGGAGCCTGGAAGGACAGTATTCAGAGGTGTAAGTTTTGGGGACCTAAAGCACTGTGGAAGTCTGAACCAGAAGTAGGCAGAGAATAATAATGCAAATAACAAACATAAAGACGATGAAGACCTTGAGAGTGGAAGTTAAGCAAAGTTTTAACATGAATTCATCACAGGCAACATGTGAACATTTCCCCCACACATTATGTACTAATGTTTATCTCCATTTTTGTCAGATGATAAAATATTTCCATGTTTGTACAACTGCTAAGTACCAGATATGAATCCGTGTCTGTCTGACCTGAGAACCTAAATTACTAACAACTCTCACTGCTTTGAGACTTCATTAATACAACAACCGTGTGAACTTTCAAGTCTATGTGCTTTCTATGTAAGCACAGAAAGAGAAAAGTGTGAATATAATGTTTAGCTCTTATTTCTATCCTCAATTAAATCCAGGTTCCCTTATATGTGAAACTTTCTGCCTTCATGTCTTAAAATTTCTTCATGATATACATATCCCTAAGTGAATTTAGGATAAAAATTTCCCTTGGTTACTATTTTTAGTGCCTTTCAGAGAGTCAATTATAATCCTGATTTACTGAGATATTTTCTGACTAAACTGATTCTACTGAGTTATGTTCTGATTACCTACAATTGAAGCATGACTATTTGCTTTTTTGTTTTTATTTGTTTTCAGATGCTTATGAAAAAGGAGACTATTACTTGGCAAAGTTCCTAGCACAAAATGTAAGACTAATTGAATTGTATGAACTCTTTTCCAGGCAAGCACAGATCAAACATTATCAGCGAACTGTACAAATACATTGTTCTACATCTTAATAGGAATTTTTATTACATTGAGGTTTATTAAAGAGTTCTGTTGACATTAAAGTAAGGACGAAATAGTACTTATTTTGACAATTATCCAGTTTACCAAAGAATATAAATTTGTAGTTTTTATAATACTTCGATGGGAGAGGGTTAGTCCTTAAACGTATAACATGTTTTCTGTGTATGAAAAAAAACTGGTGATTAAATTTTGAAGCATGTATGATGCATCAGCTAGCTATTGCAAATTATTGCTGTATAAGAAATAACTTTGAAAAAAAGCAAAGTATCATGTAACTAATTACTACCTAAAATGTATAGGTGATAGTTTGAAATTCCACGGTGTATACATAACATTTTCTTGTAATATATATACACAGAAAAAATAATTTTTTTCTTCACCAAGCATTTAAAAATAGGAAAAGCAAACCAGCACAAAAGAATTACGAGATTTCTGAATATTTTAACATAGAAAACATTCAATATGCTACCCTTTTTTTTTCTATATTCTTTACAGAATACACTAAAAATACAGACGACACACAATAATTATTTGAGTGCCTCGAATCCACTGAAATTTGGACATATTACTATCTGGGGTATTGAGTCTACTTTAGTGACAAGGGTTAAGTTTACCTATGACAACCAACAATTTGTAGAGGATGATTTCCAATGTGATCCTAATAAACAGGTATGTTTCAAAGTAATGTTATCATTCATAAATAAATTAGTTATAAAATATTACCATGATTATTATTATTATCATGTTTACTGATTTTAGAAACATTATGGGCAATTGCAATAGTTCCTCCACATTAGTGGTTCTCCTGATATAATCAGGCATTAATAATCAATGGTTGGTTGCAGTTCTGTGTGTTTTCAGGAGAGATTGTGCCACGTATTTGTTATGCTAGGTTAACATAACAAAATTTATTTATTTCTATAAAGAAAAGAATAATTCTAAAATTGCATGAAATTTTTACCCTTAGCCTTTCTAAAACTGGATAGTTAACTTGAGCAATCTTTGAGGTTGGTGAAGATTGTGATTATCATTAATATGACTATCATCTGTTAACCTGTTAATATTGATGTGACTAACAGTCCTGCTAATTGAAAGATGAACTAATAATAGAGTAACCACAGAGGACAAAGTCTCCCGTCTTAGAAAAACTTCGAGCCATAGAAAATCTGGTTTAATATCTGGCTTAGAAATACAGAAATTGGTAGCCACATTTCTTGTTTTCAAAAGATGAAAAGTTGCTATTTTAATGTTTGAAAATAATTCTTTGAATGCTCAAATGGAATTTTCTCTATTCTCTGCTAGTTCTCCACTGCAAAGCAGTTTTCCTGGACTGTTGGGTTCCGAATGACTCTTTCAATTAATTACTTCCAATTAAGATTGATGGAATAAAGACTCATTAACATTCGAGCATCTTCTTTTCTGGAAAACAGCATGTCTGACACCTAAGCGTCAGGCACTATCTTGGGGATGGTGAAGCACAGAGCAAAGTCAGCTCTTAGGAAAGTTAAAAATCTAGTGGCAAGGCAAATATAATTTTATCATCATTGGATTTTTTTATTGTTGTGGGTCTATAACCAGTAGTACTCTAGGGATCAAGAGGAGAACCATGAGATGCTGAGGATCAAACTCAGGAGTTCACACATCAATTCATGTGATCTGCACCTAGGGTTCAAAAATGATTTAAATAAAGAACTATAAAAATTTGTGAGCTGTTTGATTATGATTAAATTATGTAAAACAATATTTTTAGCATAAGGTTCATACATGGCATCTCTCCAGAGTAATCTATCTAGAGAAGGTGGGACCATCTCCAGGAAATGTTTATATCCTTCTATCATTCTCTGGAGAAAGAACGAATATATTGTGCTTGTTAAATTAGCAGACTTAGGGGCAGGAGAGATGGTACAGGGGTTATGGCACTTGTCTCATATGTGGTCAACTCAGTTCAATACCCCAGGTACTGGCAGGAATGATCTCTGAGTACTGAGTCAGAAGTATTTCTTGAGAACCACCCTCTCCCCAGAAGTGATGTTTAAGTATTCCTTAAAATCAACTTATTTCTTCTTTTTTTCGCAGAAACTATCAATTAATTTGTCTAACAATATCAGCCTGGAAAAGTTAAAAGAAGTAATATGGATTTATGGTGACAGCCCTCCAGTGACTCCTACACCCATCCCTCCCGTGATTACTACTACACCCAGCTCTCTCAGCCCTCCAGTGACTACTTTTACCCCCAGCCCTCCAGTGACTACAACACCCATCCCTCCAGTGATTACTACTACACACAGCTCTCTCAGCCCTCCAGTGACTACTATTACACCCAGCCCTCCAGTGACTACTACACCTATCTCTCCAGTGATTACTACTACACCCAGACCTTCAGGTACTAGTACTACACAAATGACAAATACCATCTCAACAAGTCCTCTGTATTCCTCTCCATTCACTACTGAGGATACTACAGTTGAATGGTATCCTGGTTCTACTACTGAAATAAAACCTACAAGTACTGCTGGCACTAGAAGTCCTCCACCTGCCACAGCTAGTGTTTTCCCAACACAGACTACTGAAGCCACAACTATTCCAACTGCTGCAACGACCACAACTACTATTGATACTACAGTTGATTTAACCTCAACAACAATTACTGATAAATCTAGTATACCTATTACTACCACAAGTACTATTACAGCTACAACTCCTACAACTACTTCAATTACTGATACCAGTGCAGTTGCAACTAGTACCACTATTTATGCCACTACAGTTACTAAAAATACAAGCACTTTCTCTCCAACAACAATTACTTCTAGTACTAATGCTACATCTACTATCATGACCACCATGACAGACCCAGCAAGTACGACAAATCATGACACTACTACAAGTACTCCTAAAGTTTCCAATACAGACACTATTGCTAGTCCTAATCCCACTCTTCCCATGACAACTAATTATTTTCCAACAAGTAATACTGAAGATACAACTAACACTAATACTTCTGAAATCACTACAACTACAATTAATAATACCCTCTCTACAAGTCTGAGTACTGATAGCATTAGTCCTATCACAAACAGCCATTTCCCAGAAACCAGTAGTGAAGTTGCAACTATCCTTGACCCTAATGTGCCTTTCCCTACTTTATTTAGAACTAGTAATACTGCTGTTCCTAATACCACTCCAGCTACTAATACACCTATGACTACAAATACAAATGCTGCCACTGTTGCTAATCTTACTACAACGATCAATTCTTTCTCAACAAGTACAATTGATATTAGCATATCTGATGCCACTCCAACTGTAGATGTTAATACCATTTCTACAGCTCTGAGTGATAGCACTTTTCCTGTTACTAGCAACCTTTTGCCACCAAGCAGTACTGACTTTACAAATAGTACTACTGTTTCTGATACTTTCTCAACAAGTACTACTGAGATTACTATGGCAGTCACTAATACCACTGCAAATACTTCCTCTACAAGCACTACTGCTAGCAATAATTTTCCTGTAACAACCAGTTCTTTCCCAAATTTTACTAAAGTTACAGCTACTACTAAGGTTTCAGATACCACCACACATATAGTTAATACCTTTGCCACAACTCTGAGTACTGATAGCAGGAGTTCTATTTCTATCACAAACAGTACTTTCTCAGCAAATATTACTGGTTATAACTAGTACCACAGTTTCTAATATGAATTTCTCTACTTTTTCAACAAGTGATACAGAGATTGCAACTAATATTACAACCACTTATAATGCTACTGCAAATATGCCTTCTAATAGCACTAGAGCTCTTTCCAATATTGCTCTTCTAGTTCCATGATTGCTTTCTAAGACTTTCGCATTATGGCAGAAATCTCTTTAAAGCAGTTACTACATAATATGGAAAGTCAATGAACAGATACCTAATCTTTTTCCACACAAGTTTTCACAAATATTATCACTAACATTATCACTAGCTCCTACAAGTACTGCAGAAGTTTGCATATATGTATAAAATGCACTCAATTACTTGTTTTTAAAGTATAATTAAAGAAGTTATAGCTATTGCTCTTTAAAAATTATATCTAACTTTTATAGACCATCAATTATAAATCCTATAGAACATCAACTTCATATATTTTATATGCTTTCACTATATATATGGTATTATCAAAGGCTTACCCTTAGACAATATTCTAAAACTAGTATGAAAACATACGGGAGACTTTAAATATTTTCTGAGCTCCAAAAAGTCAAATATATTTTCATAATAATACCAAGGTTTTGTATTTCGTGCTCATTGTCAGTCTTTATTTCTACAGAGCCTTGCTCAGAGCTTCTGCTGAGAGGTCATAGTAAAGTGATACACACAAAACTCTTACCCATCTCCTCTTAAAACCAGACATTGAAGAGCATTAAAATATATACTTTATAAAATATGAAATGACACTGCTCATTTAACTGATTTTTATTTTGTAAAATATTGGCTTTTCATAAAAGAATTTTGTTTTATGTTTATGTACATGTCGTGTATTGTTATTTTAATGAGTAAAAGTAAATGTTTTACAAAATCACTTACAAATGGTTATTTATATATATTTAAATTTATTTTCTCTGTCTCTGAAAAAAAAAACTACCACTACCTCCACTACACAGCCCCCGCCACCCTCCAGGACACACTCCGGGTGCTGGAGCTGAGACTCATGCACAAGTGAAGCCCCACAGAAGCAGCTAAGCGGAACTCTGGGGGGGGGGGGGCCACTAACCACTCTCTGCCCGCGGAGGTGGCCCAAGGATTGATCCGATGGTGCAAGGAGGGACCAACCAAATGAACACGAGACACAAGAGACAGAGTACAGTTTAGAAACAGAGAGAACAAGGGACAGAACTTTATTGGGGGCTACAGGCTGTTTATATAGAGTCCAGGCAGCCCAGTCAGGAGCAAAAGCAGTATAACCATACATGGTAAGGTCAGCAACAAGAGCTTTACCTAACATTCAAGGTAAACATTTGTACATCAAAGGGTCTTATGGCAGTAGGTGCATCCTGAGCTTTACATTTGTATATCAAGGGGTCTTAGGGCAGTAGATGCATCCTGGAGGTTACTATAGATAAGGCCAGATAAGATAACTCTCAGCCTGATGTTATGTGGCTATAGATCAGTCATTCGCTGAGGTCAGGAAGCCCTGGGAGACTGTTACCAATGTCTGTCCCAAGCGGTTCCTAACATGGGAACCACTGCTAGGGTCTATGAGAGGGCTCTTGGCTTCCCACACTCAGTGACCTTGGACTCCAGGCACAACAGGACCCACGAACAGAGATCTTCTGCCTGCTCCCACCAATCTCCCAAGACCAAGGGATTAAAACCAGAAACCCCACCCTACCCTGCCCTGTCTGCTTCCACCAAACTCCAGCTAGCCAGGGATTACACATAGAAGACCCACCCTACCTAAATACCTCATCAGCAGACCTACACTACCTCCACTACCTCCACTACCCAGCTGCCGCCACACTCCAGGATACTTTCCAGGCTGTGCGGCCACAAAGTGGCCACGCTACACATCATAAGACACTTAATATCCATCTTCCAAGATTACCGCACCATTTTTGATAGGGTTCATATATGGCTTCAACCATGGGAACACCTGCAAGGGCAATTAGAGGCTGTCCTAAAAGCCTCTATTCCTCTCAGAGAGCCTGGCAAGCTACCGAGAATATCCCGCCAGCAAGGCAGAGCCTGGCAAGCTATCCATGGCATATTTGATATGCCAAAACAAGTAAATACAATGGGTCTCATTCCCCGGACCCTGAAAGAGCCACCAATAGGGCAGCGTTAAGAAGGATGAGGAAGGAGAGACTGATAAAATCTCAAGGCCTAACTAGGCTGCCAAAACGAAGAAAAACTAAAATGACAATTTGTTCTTTCAATGCACTTACTCTGGCATTGGATGCATCCATCGAGGACATGATGGTAAAAGTGTGAAGATCAAGTACGACATCATTGGTCTGACCAAGATGAGAAGGCATCAACCACATCACACCATTTTTGACACTAGAGAAGAACTGTTCCTCAGAACATGTGACAAAAGAGGCTTCGGTGGTGTCAGCATCCTTGTCAACACGAACTTGGCTATGAGCATTAATTCATTCAAATGCCTAACAACCCGAATAATACAATTACACTTGAATAGATACACACTTGACAAAAACACTTGGCTCACTGCCAGCGGTTTCTATCTTTATTGTCTACGCACCAACATCCAATTATGATGAAGGAAAAACTGAGAAGTTCTACATGGAGCTGGAGAAGTTCTATAAAGAAGACCACGCCTTCTACAAGATCATTGTCAGTGATTTAAATGCCAAGATAGGACCAAGAAGATCAGCAAAAGAACTCCACATTGGGACCCATGGCCTACAATGAAAAGAACAGGGTGAGAGACTATCTGAGTTCATCATGTCGACCAAGATGATCCATGGTAACTCACAGTTCCAGAAGGCTGAATCTAAATGTTGGACATGGGAGTCACCGGGTGGATGGTTCAATGAAATTGACCACATCATATTCAATCAATGGTTTTGCCTGACCGATGTCGCTGTTGTCCCAAAATTCCAAAGGAGATAGGACCACCATCTCCTTATGCAAAATTCTACTTCACAGAGCAGGGATAAAGGGCTGCAAAGTTTAAGAAGAGAACTCACAGAATGACCACCAACTGGGAGCTCTATGGCACTATTGTGGCAACATGGGAAGATGCCGTCATTGACAGCATTGACAAAGAATACAATAGATTGGTTCAGCACCTCCATGATTGTTCAAGGAACCTCAGGAGAGAGCAGCAAAAAGACGCCTGTCTTAAAAAACTCTTAAGCTCATTTGCCAATATGACTTGGTGTGAGCTTCAGGCAACCACAAGAGAATGTCCGAGCTCGCAAAGAAGTGAAGAGAAGTGATAAAGGAAGACCTCAAAGAGAGAAGAGCAGCAGTGCTGACAGATGTGACAGAAACCAGGAAAATTATTTGCAATGCCCGCCTGTCCTTCCCCAACTACAAGACCAAGATGATTGCCCTCCGACGTCCTGATGGATCTATCACATTTTCCAGAGGGGCTATGGAAAAGATCATCCATGATATCTACTCGGATCTCTTTGATAGCCATGTCCACCATCCCGCATACCAAATTCCACAGAATGGGTATGTCGTTCCCAATGTTCTCCCTTCCCGAAATCTGACAGGACATTTCATTTGTAAAGAAGTGAACAGCACCCAGCCCAGACAAGGTCAGACCCAAACAGCTGAAGAACCTGCCATCAGTACTCATCAATACACTGGCTCTACTCTTCACCCGCTACCCTTCTAAACGCAAGGTTCCGTTCCAATGGAAAACCAACAGGACTGTACAACTGTACAAGAAGGGAGACATCCATAACATTGGCAACAATCACCCGATCTGCCTGTTGTCTGTTGTCTACAAGCTGTTCACTCGAGTCATCCTGAATAGGATTGACAGAATACTAGATGAAGGACAACCATGCGAACAAGCCACGTTCCAAAAAGGATTCAGCAAGATCGACTATATCCACACTATAAACAAGCTTATTGAGGTTTCTCGGGAGTTCAAGATGCCGCTCTGTCTAACGTTCATTGATTTAAAGAAGGTCGTTGATTCTGTTGAGACTGAAGCAGTCATTGAAGCCTTAGACAAACAGGGTGTTCAAACTCAATACATCAGGATCCTCCATGAGCTGTATTACGAACTCATTGCCAGTATCTCACCATTCTACAAGGAAGTGATCATTTATGTCAAGTGATCAAGTGACCAAATTTATTTTATTTTTGAAAGTTATTCACAATATTTGATTACATTTAATATTTGAACACCAATCCCACTAGTACACCATCCCATCACCATATTTCAATTCCAAATTCCAAACCCTGCCCCCAAAGCAGATCTGGAATAATTTATTTTGTATTGCTTGTTTCATTTTAATGGATATAGATTAAATAGTCTATATCTAATCTTTGGCTGAGTGCTCAGCTTCATGGGGGACTCACATGGAGTGGTGCAACAGGAAGGGGACACCCTCTTAGCCAGCCAGGTCAGCCCAGTCAACCCTGGTGTTCAATGGAGGACAAATGTCAACACCCAGTGTGACTTCATAGAGGCTGTTTGTTCAAACAACTCCAATTCTTTTTAATTTAATTCATACGTGTGTGTGTGTGAGAGAGAGAGAGAGAGAGAGAGAGAGAATAATTAAAAGTATGGGATTTCAATATCTGTTTGTTGGTTGGTTTTTTTTTTTCTGCCCCACACCTATGGTGCTCAGGGTTACTCCTGGCTCTGTGCTCAAGGATCACTCCTGGTGGGTTTGGAAAACCAGATGGTGTACCAGGGTCCGCTGTGTGCAAGGCAAGCACCCTGCCTGCTACATTAATCCCTCTGGCCAAAGTATAAGATTTTCAAATAAGAAGTATCTTGGAAAAAGGAAAAAAAAGGGAATGGCAAGAACAGAAACAAATAACAAACAGGGCAGGGTGGAGCAGACTAATTGACGGTGTTTGAAGAAACTTGAAAATTAAAGGTCAGAGTTTAAACGTGCTTGCTACTGCTCAGCCCAGTTTCATAGAGAGAAACCCAATGAGTCCGTTTTGAGAGAGTCTCCTGTGATCAGAATGGTGACTGGACCACTGA